CTATGCGCTCCGTTGAGCAATAGTCTTGAGCTTACCTTGTCTGGACCTCCGGAACCCACAACCCAACTCACCCACCTCTACTTACTCTTCCGTCGCCTCCGGGCCCCGCGCTGCTGGTTGACACACACCCCCCTTACCAACTTCGAAGATGTTTCATACATCACCTTTGTCGAATGGACCTTGTCTATTGTCTAGGACACTGGTACTCTACCTCCTTGCTCCGCCGAGCGACTGGTACCGCAGTACATTACCCCAGACACTTCGGACACCCCAGTTTGACCACCTCACACTCCAACCCCGACTCTACTTTGCCTTGTTGCCTTCGGTCAGTGTTCCACCGCTAGGATAACTGTCTCACCTATGTGCTCCGTTGAGCCTAGATCATGAGCAGTATTTCTGAAACACCGGACACCCCACCACAACCTCCCCATACTCTTTCCGTCGCCTCCGGACCTAGTTCCGCTGGTTGACCCGTTCCCTCCGTCCTCTCTCTTTGAGTTAGGATCCCATCTGTTGACGTTTCCACGTCTCCCCATTGGATAAGTTTGTGCCCAAGTATCTGGCTAATGTCTGCTCACCCTGAGACTCCGTTGAGTAATGGACCTGAGTGAACGTTGTCTAGGTATGAGGACACTTCCTTTCCTTCCACCCTCGCCTTTCCCTGTCGCCTCCGGACTAGTTCCGATGGCTGGCACCCTATCTCTGTCTACCTCTTACCATGAGGAAGACTCCTACACCATTGGTAACCTTGTATGCTACGCCAAAGCTTGCTACCGGTTAACTTTTAACCTTTGCACATGGCACGCACACATCTCTACTCCACTTACTCTCTTGCCTTCAGGCTCACCTCCGAGAGTTCTCTGGACGATCGTTATCACGATCCTCGCCATCCCACATCTCCTTGGAAGTATTCCAGAACCCTCCAGTTACTCCACACTCCTCTCTTCCACCTTCCCTATGATGTTCCGCTTCTGCTTCCGGATGATCCGACTTTAGCCTGTAGTGTTGATTAGATGCTGGGACGTCTAATCCTAAGAAGGGGATATGGACTCCGCTTCTATCTACCTCAGCGCTATACATCGGTCTCCACCAGGAGTATTTTCGCGTCGTCCCTACAGACAACCCTAGCTGCTCAAGTTCCCTGAGCTAGCTCTACCTCCGATGCCGAAAGCTGTACCCTAACATCATACCCAACCTCCACCTTCGTCACCCTGTGCCTCGCACACCCTCGGACCTCCATCATTTCCGACAATCGAGATTCCATCGATGCATAAGACCCATTCAGGTGGGCAACCAACCTCTCCTCCCTGACATCGACTACCCTCGACCCTGTATCTATGATACACTCCCTTCCTCCGACAACCTTACCTGGACAGTACCCCGAGTGTCTACTCCGGACCTTCGGACCCCCCCTCACTAGTCCACGGTACCCCTTCTCAAGCCTTTGGCTTGTACCCTGAACAACCCCGACTCCCTTACGACCATGGAACTCCACTCTTGTGTTGTCAAACCTTGAGTTCCTCCCCTTGCCAGCTCCGAAAGGGATGCCGAGTTTGTTCTCCGACCTCCCACTGTCCTCTGGTTATGGCCTCCTTAGGTATCTGTCTACTCCGGTACCCATTCCGGGAAGACAAACATGCTGAGTGTTCGTATGAGTTGCTATGTTAGCACCTCCACTCTTCGCCATAAGCCTCACCACATGGACCTCTACTCCTCCTGAGCGAGCTCCAGACCTACAAGTTCCTCGGAACTCCACGGACTCGTCTCATCTCATCATCCCTCCTGTGACTGAGTTGTACCATGCACAGCACAATCCCATCCTTGAGATTGTTGTCGCAATTGGGAACTCCTTCACTCCGCTCCTTCGGATACTTCGGAGCTGACTTTGGTCCTCCTTGTATCATCACATGGACCTTCGGTCCCCCCAACACACTTTGTGAGTCGCCCATCCGGCCTCCATTGTGTCACCCCGGGATTCCCCCATTCCTTGAGGACCTCCCAACCCACCAAAGCTTGGTCTTGGAACAGACCTTGCTCCGGACTTTCCACCATGACCCCCGGACCTCGACTCTTAGGAATTTCATGGAAGTTAAGACTGAAACTCTCCTCGAAGACCGCGTCTACATGACCTCTTCACTCACCTTTCAGCTCTTACTTGCCAGACGACTACCTATATCTGTGCGACCCAACCCTTCCTATCGTACCTCTTCCCTATTCCCGATTGAGTCCTTACCATCTCCGTACCCAACTCCGCCCCTCCGAGTCTCCCCACTCTCCCTAGTTCCTCGTGAAGTCCTGTCGGACCTCACTCCTCCCATCCTCCCTTCGTTGATCGAACACCATCCCCAAGATCCCGAGCTGGTCGTTGTAAGTCTTCCTTGTTCCACTTCACCACGCTCCTCGTGTTCCATCACCACCTTCATCGGTATTGCAGCAGGTATATCCAGAGACCTATTCTAAGGCCTTCAAGGGTTCAGGCCTAAGAAGGGGATACTGTCATATCCGTGCATACCCGACCCCGACCCGACTTCCGGACCTCCACCCTCTTCACCTCCGGAGTCATAACCTACCGCTGCCGTTCCGATACTCACCTTCGGTCCTGGCAACACACCTCCTCCTTACCTCTCGCCACGCTCCTACTACTCCACTCCCCCTTCACAACACCTCCACCCTCCCATTATCCTCCTACGCTTCCTCCGTCCGCTCCGATACTCACCTTCAGACCTGACTACTCTTCTTTCTGCCACTCCTTCTTCCTTACCTTTCCCCTCTCTCCTCCCTCTGCTACTCCTCCGCCACCCTTCCGCCAAGTTACGACCTTCCACCGTTGTTCCGTACTTCGCACTCGGACACCGCTCGTACCTTACTCCGAGCCTCCGTCATAGTCCCTACCTCGGACTTTGACTCCACCTCGGTCTTAGTCCATTGCATTGGTGACCTCATACTACGTAAACACCATTGCCAATATCCCTCGGACTTTCAACCCCGCCTCCGTAACCTCCGTAAGCTCCGCAACCCCTGAGCTTCACGGATCACCTTCGGCCCTCTCGCCGCTTGTAATGTATTTCTCGCATTTTCCCCTCATCCCTATTTGGACTACTGCTTCCTTTCTATTCAGTCAGCTAGCCATTCCCGACTCCCATCCTCCTTCCTTCCTTCTTGGGCCTTGGCCCTTCATTCCTCCTTTGGGAAACACCATTGAGTCAAACACTTGACCCTCGGAGTTGTTCCTCTTTCCATCTCCCTTTGTCTCCTTTTGTCCTACCCTTGTTCCTTTTGATTCCGGACCCCTCCTTATATACAATGTACCTAGTAACTTGTAACCTCAGTCCGAAATCGACTTGAATTCCCCCCAAGAGACTTTCCCTCTGCTAGATCCGAAATTAGGGACCCCTAGGACAACCAGCAATGGCACAGCGCTCCGCCTGAGTCGCTGAGGCCAAGGTCCTTCCATGCTAAGTCTCCGATTCCATTCCGGAGTCGTCCGAATCCGCAAGTTCTAACAATACACATGAGAGCTGCATGGGCTGCACACCCGATTTTAACACGACTGCACATTTGTCAGATAGCAAAGACAGACAATGATTTATAAACTCAACTCCTCAAAATCCTGTGGCACCAACTGACACAGCTCATCACAATGTGCAAGGTACTTGTCAACTTTGTCTGCTGCAGGTTGCCAGTGTTGACCAGGTTTTGCAACAAGCGGGGACTGCAGGACCTTTGCCTGTGCCACTGTCAGGGCCCGGCCTCTGTCCGGGGGCGGCCCTACCTCAGAACTGGACACTTGCAGTGTCCCAGGTAGCCAGGTGCTGGATCCTACCCCAAGCTCCTCAAACTCACTAAGCGGGGATTGAGTTGTCATGTATTATGGAAGGTAGCTACAACTTGCCTAAGCAGGGATTGAGTTGAGAAGAAGGGTAAGTTTCCCTATTCCCCGCTTGGCTACTATAAAAGGGAAATGTACTATACAGTTTGTAACGTGACTAAGGGTAGGAGCCGAGCATGTTCCCATGATGTGGAAAAGGTGTCACATGGGTTAAGGCGAGTTGCTCACCTTGACCCACGTGATTTTTCCCATGGGTTCGCATGCAGGCTGTAGTTGCGAAAGGTGTGTGAAGATAGGAGGATGAGGGAAGTGGGGGGAGGTCAGGGAAGGTGGTTCTGGGGTTGTATGGTCAGGTGTGGTTGCCCTGACAGCCACATCGGATCTTGCTTGATCAGTTTGAAGTACTGTACCCACATGACTAACTACCGGCTGGGTCCTGAGCGTGACACAAAATTTTCAACCGGCGACTCAGTTTGATGCGTGACACCCAACCGGCCAGCTGGGCCCCAAAAGGGAGGCAGTGCTAATTTCGGGAAAATGGCTGAGCCTGATGAGGTTGCTTTGGCTCCCTCCGACCTTGGTCATGGAATGCAAGCTAGAAAAACACACAATTTGGACGAGGTGGCTGTTTTTCTTTCGGAACATACCAATTACCCGAAAAAGGAAATTTGATATAGCCTTTGCATAGCCACAAGTGAATGAGCATTTTTGCGTGACATGGGATAATTTGACCACTTGCCTCGCGTGACGCGTGACAGAGTCTTCAAATGAGCCTGACCTGCGAGCCCGCGTGACGCATGACAGGTAGTTGGTCATGTGGGTACAGTACTTTAACTTGTTCAATGAATAGAAGTTCGTATTTGAACCGATCTGTTGGAATACAAGTCACATGATGAAATTGAACCGGAATATCCGAGAATATTCTACGGGTTACTAGGCGCCTGCGTAAGCGCTGGGCATAGAAGAGCCTGGAATATTGTTGAGGAGTATAAATATGGGCGCTGGAGCGCCGTGTGTATTTTAGTTATATTTCTTTCTATATTACATCTTGGTTGCGAGTGAACCGCTGAAGCGGGTTGCCATATTTGGAACGCCGCGTTTACAACACGATCTTGAGCTATGCATTCAATGAGCGCCATTGTTGCTGCATCGTGGCACATTGTTGCAGATACAGATGTAACACGCACACGTGCAGCTTCGCATCAGTATTGATGATGAAGAATGATTGTTGCACATGGACCAAGCGAAATCCCGAAATGACTCAAATCCTGTTTCGGCCGACTCCGCTTTCAATAATCCTTTCGAAAAACGCGAGACTCGATGAGCGTGTTGCAACGCCACCTACGGCTACCATGTGCTAGGATTCAACATATTTCGGCTCTGAAAATGCGTTGGTCTTCATCTTCGCGATCAACTCAGTCTGGTCCCCCAAGAACGGCGGACGACTCGACGTCTGCTCTGACTTACAAACAAAAGCACTTGTCGCGACCACCACCTCTCCCCGCTACCGATCTCCCAAGAGCGCGAAGTGCAGAAGAGGCAGTGACGAATATTCTGTACAATACGCCTCCCCCGAGTTCTCAACCATTCAAGAAGTGAGTTTTCTCCTTCTGCTTCATCCTGCACCAGGCTCATGTCAAACACAGACACATTTTAAACTGCCTTGTTCAGAATGAACCGGGTGTGCTTTCTCGAATCTCAGGGACACTTGCTGGGAGGGGTTTCAATATTGATTCGTTGGTCGTATGTCGAACTGAGATCCGAGACCTCAGTCGAATGACTATCGTTTTGACCGGGCAAGATGGTGTCGTCGAACAGGCCCGACGCCAACTAGAAGACCTCGTAAGTACGCAAATTCCCTCCAAAAAATCTATTCATTTTTTTTTCCTTTTAATTATTCACAAGGTGCCTGTCTGGGCTGTTCTTAATTACACCAACACCCGCTTGATTGAACGGGAACTCCTGCTTGCAAAAGTGTCCATCCTCGGTCCAGAGTACCTAGCAGACCAACTCGTTGGTGGACCTTCGCACGAGCCCAGCAGGAACGCTGAGGGTTTCATGCATGACCGCGAGAGTGAAGTGGCTGCCGAGAAACTTAGGAGCGAAATGGTCCTCGCTGAAACATTCCAGCATAGCGGTCAACAGCAGCCGCAGCCTGCATCGGCCGAGGCTCGTACACTGACACCATCGGAAGCCCTCCGGATAAAACACCAACATCTCAGCCACATTCGCAATCTAGCGGATCAATTTGATGCCAAGGTTGTAGACATCAGCGAAAATAGTGTTATTGTTGAGATGAGTGGGAAGACGAGTCGCGTAGAGGCGTTCTTGTCATTGCTGAAGCCTTTTGGCCTCATTGAGTCAGCCCGAACAGGTACGTCACAACACCACCGCTTTCCACGCGCAAGATCTTTTGCTTACACTGCGTTCCAAGGTGTGATGGTAATGCCTCGGACACCTTTACCAAGGTCTCTTGAAGATGAAGATCCCACAAGCATTTCGGATGCTGTGGATGCCAGCCTCCTCCCCCCTGGCTGAAGATTATTGTTAGTTTCTGTGCTAGGCTTTAAAAGTGTCTATCAGGCTATCTCATGATGGCAAGATTGTCACCATATTTGTACACTTTTGGGATGTTGAGGGACGATATTAATGTTAGTAACGACTATCGAATCCATCTTCCTGGAGCGACCTTTGCAGAGCAGCTGGCCTAATTTATTCGCGAGGCAAACCAATCGATTGAAATGAGGTATCAACATGGTATGGCATGAAGGGCGTGAGGAATCATAACGCGTGAGATAGGACGTAGATCATTCAGACTAAACAGTCTTCAGGGACAAAGGAAACAGGACAGGGAAGGGAGGCTTGAAATAGAATGTCACACCTGTTTGAAGGGCGCCGGCGTGGATGGGTGGGTAGAAAATATAACAGTAGATATCCGAATCTTATTAACCTCGATCATCCATGAGAATTCACTTCTTGCCCTTATTCGACTTATTCTTCTTGGTCTTTGAAGGCTCGAGTGAGGACGTTGGGGAATCATCGGCTACGAAGCTTCCACTGTCGCGAACACTTCCCTCTCGTTGACTACTGTCATCCTTCGAACCAGCGCGCCTGAAGCCCATGCGGGTGGCGAGTGTTTCCCTGGGGGTGGGCGATTCTGGGCGAGAAGACGGGTCTCCTCCACCCCCAGTCAGGGCGCGCGCAACGGCACGAGCAGCGTCAGCAGCTTGTTGACCTCCCTTTTTACCTCCAAGCGAAATTCTTCGAGCAATCTTCTGGAAATTTTGTGACGAGACACGTCGACGCTTGCCTTCATCGGTAGGCTCAGGGGTGCCCGTGCGGGGCGATTCAGTCTGCGCAAATTTAATCCCAGGGGACTGCACGGCGGAAATAGATGCGGCGTCGGGTTCAAGGGAGGGTCTGGCGGGTTCGAGGGCCGGAGAGTCTGTAACTTTGACACTAGAAGCGTCATCACTGACAGGGAATGCGACTGGGGCAGAAAATGGGGATGCAACAGGCGACTCGATGACTGGCTCGGTGGCAGCAGCACCCCCAGATGAAAGACCTTCAGCAATAAGTTCTTGCTTCGACTCTTCATCCTTTGGCGCTTCGGAGATCTCGGGGGTCACCTTGGGTGGTTCTAGCTCCTCGCGAATGAATTCCGTCGTGCTCTTTGGTGATGAGGCAATGTCCTCCCTAGGCTGGTCAACCTGTTCAATCTCCTTGATGGCGGATGGCTCGGCGAATGGCTCAGGCTCGACCGGTGCCTCCAAGGGTTCAACCTGAGCTTCTTCCGGCACGATATAGCCGTCAGCTTGCTGCTCCGTTTCGTTCAAGTGAATCAGGTCTTCACTATGGTCGACCTTGATCTGTTCTGCCCACATGCGCGCGAAGATACCGTTAGCCTGAAGTAGCTCGCCGTGGTTCCCTCTTTCCGCAATCTCGCCATCTTTAAGAACCAAGATGCTAATGAACCAATGAGTAGGTTTCCCAAAGCGGGGAGACACGGCGCTTACACGTCCGAACTAACAATCGTCTGTGACAGGCATGCATATCAGCACACATTAGGCCAATTCAAATTCAATGAACACCTACCGAAAGTCGATGGGCAATCGACAACGAGGAGCGACCAGTCACCTGGCAGAGTGTCAACGCGGGAAACAAACATGGTTTGGTATCCAGCACGCACGAGATTATGGAGAGCCTTCTGAATATCCTTCTCGGTGGTAGTATCGAGGGCCCTTAAAGTAGCGTGTCCCCAGTAAGACTGCAGAGAACACGATGAATTTGAATCACGCACGAGGTTGCTTCATCAAGTAAAAGTATTGGGGCGTTCTTTAAGAACGTCCTCGCAATGGATACGCGTTGCTTCTCTCCTCCGGACAGCCGAACACCACGCTCCCCGACTTTGGTTTCATATCCATCGGGGAAGCTCAAAATCCGCTCATGCATCTGGGCAGCCTGCGCCGCATATTCAATCTCTTCCTGAGTCGCTTCAAATTTGCCATATCGAATGTTGTAAGCAATGGTGTCATTGAACAGAACACTGTCCTGTGGCACAACACCAATTGCACGTCGAAGACTTGCCTGAGTAATGTCTTGGATATTCTGGCCGTCGATGAGAATAGAGCCTTGACCCTCTTTAAGATCGTAGAAGCGATATAGGAGCCGCAAAATAGTGCTCTTTCCAGAACCGGATTCACCAACCAAAGCAACTGAGGATCCCTTCGGGACCTTGAAGGATACATTATTGAGAGCGGTCGTCCTGTCATCGTAAGTGAAGGAGACATTGCCTGATAAAATGTCACAAAACAAGAACAACGTCATCCGAACACTGGACTCACGGAATTCAATTTCTCCATTGGTCACTATCAAATCATGTGCACCGGGTTTATCATTGACGTCGGTAGGTTCATCTAGAAGCTTCAACAAACGCTCAGTATCAACTAGAGCTGAATTGATAGAACGGTAAATGTAGCCAAGATTGTTCAATGGCCCATAGAACTGGCAAGAATAAGATTGGCAAGACGAATCACCGAAAGACTGTGACTTTACTTACCTGAGCAAGGTAGGTAATGAAGAAGACGAAGTCGCTGGTGTACTTGCGACCATTCACGATCTCGGCAGCAACAAGGAGGCTACCAATAAGTAATCCAAACGTCTGCGCATAGTGCATGAGCAGGACAAACCAGCCGACCCGATGAGGCTACTAACGATAATAAAGTTCTGGACCAAGTTGAGCAGGTGGATAGCGGCTATGGGATATGAAATAAATGAGTGGATGTCGGTTCACGGGTAACTGAGGAATCCACACACTTATGGCTTTAAACTCCAGAACTTGATAGTTCCGGATAGCTTCCTTATATCGCTCGCCTTCGTGCATCTCGCCATTGAAATACTTGACGGTCTATTCGGAATTCGGACTTAATCGATCATAAAATTGTAAATACCTATGTTACTCACCTCATAGTTGAGTAGGCAATCGGTGTGAATGCCCCGAGTGATCTACAGCATGTAAAAAAACGAGCGTTGCAAGATCATAGCAGCAACTAACCACATCACGCTCGTTCATTTGGCGACGAATTTTGGTTCGCCACGAAGTGATAGCAATCTAAACGTTAAAGAGTGAGGAGCATATAAAAAAATTGGTACGATGATAACATACAGATGCCGTAACTCATCATTGTCGGAAGGGAATTTTCTCAACGTCGAGAGAAAACGCCGAAAGGATATAGACTTACTGTACGCAAGGGTCACTCCGAACACCACGGCACTGAGAGTCCAATTGAAGAAATGGACAAAAACGGCGAGAGCGACAATGATGTCAATAATGGTTGGGGCCACGCTGAACAAAATGAGCTACAACAGGATGACATCAAGCAAGAGGAATGTTTTACGCGAAATACACAAACCTCGAAAACTCGATTGATCGCAGCACCACGGTCCAGAATGCGGAGGATTTCCCCGGTTTTCTTGCGGATATGGAACGCCAAAGATAGACCCAAGAGATGGTCGAACGCCAACTGTGACATGTCTGAACATTTGACCAGATTAATTACCACCTCACAGGCAAGAAAAAACAATATTGGACGTACGTCTGTCAGAGTATTGCATAACCGGAGTCCATGCAACCTATCGCGAAAGTTAGAATGTTAACTCTCAACACATCATGCCAGGGACGTAAGTACATCACGAAGAGCCGCCAATCCGCCCGACCCTTGCAGGAATCGTAATCCAGCGTACAGGAGTAAAAAGCCCCAAGGACTAGGTCTGGAAGTCTGTCCTTGCTGTTCGAAGATTTCCACGAGCTTCTTCAAAGTTGCAGGTACAAAGAAAGTGATAAAACGCCCCGCAACCAGAAGGAGAACACAGAAGAAGGCAAGGGCCTCGAGCTTGAGTTCATGTCGAGGCCAAAGGTAAGGGAAGAGACGACGGATGCGGTGCCACATCTCACTCCATGACGGGTCGAGGTTGATTTCAGCTTTGGGATCTGGCCCTTTTGGAAGAGGGTTTTTGGGAACCGGGTGGTCGGATGGTGCGGGCGTGGATGTACGGGTCGTCAACGTAGATGGCTGCCGCGTTACGTTCGTGAATGTGCCATATTGAGGCTTCGGAGCATCTAGGCCGCTGCAGGCTTCAAACGGTGTGTCGGCCGGAACGAGGAGCGAATTGCCGTTAGTCGCGTTTTCCTGCTCTACGGCTTGCTGGGTGCGCAATATGTCAGATGGGACATATGAATGATAAGGATGGGAAAGAGCGGGATATAGTGGCAAAATAATAAGCAGGCGAAGGACCGAAAGCGCAAAATGTACGAAAGGAGAGTACAGCAATGCGGGAGTTGTCGGGTTTTCGGGAATACCAACTGGGGGTTTTCGGTCTACAAGTGTGTATGTGGGTCACCATTCTTATTCCCCGAAAGAACGTGAGTAAGGATTCGAACCTTTGAGCGACCCAGAGCTGGCCACGACGATAATATGTGCAACCCCGAAAATTATGGCGAGCGCTGCAAAGACGCGCACCCTCCTCCTCTGCCAAGCATCAATGCCCTTGTAGTCTTTCCATGCGAGCAAAATAGCGAGTGTACTGAAAGCCACCAATCCAATCAAGTAGCTCGCAAGACCCAAGGGACCAGGCCTGTCCCAAACGCCGGCGAGCACTGCTCGTAAAATAGCAACTGCGGCATCGGCGGCGTATGTCGCAGCCGCCAAACTTACCAGCGTACGGATGAGCACTCGCCTAGGCGTTAATTGTGACACGAGGACTGGCGTGACCTCGGTCGGCGCTGCATCTTTCGTTGTTGGGTTAGATCGAACAAACGCAACGGAAAACGAAAGTAATAGCAGCACGGAAACTGAGGCAACATCGAAAATGAAGAGAGGGGTATACGAGCGAGGCCATGGTATCGCCATGGTTGACATGGTGCGGGTGGAACCAAGAACTCGAGGCAAAGGCGTGCGAATTGGACTGCCTTTTATAGGCGCAGCTGAGTTTTTCCCCGTGGATGAAACAGCAGCTGCATAAACAGTGGACATTGACAGGAAGGAGACGTAATCATTGGCAAGGTATTCAGGACAGAGTAAATGACACATAGAATGAGAAATGATGAAGGATTGTAAGAGGGAAAATAAGGGGTAATGAAGAGATAGAGAATCACAACGAGAACGCATCCTAAAGCTACATGGTGGGTTGCTAGAACTATGAGCGAAGCCTTCTTGGTACATTGAACACCAGAACGAGAACGAGTGATGCAAATGAGACGGAAACCAAACCAATGAGACGAAGCCGGATGCGCGAAGGGATTCGCATAATGGATAAAGCAGGCATAGGGACCCAATAGGGAAAAGACAATGAAGGAAGGCAGAAGATGAGATTAAAAAGAAAAAGAAAAAGAAAGGAAGACAGTGGAAAGAGCACGTGTGGGGGGTAGATGATTTTCGGAGGACATCCATTACTTGAAGAGACCCTCTAATAATTGCCACCACCACCGTAGTTGGCAGGTGGTTGTTGATACCCTGACCAATATATTCAGTGGCGGAACGAGTGTCATGTAAATGTCATCCATACCTCCGCCATATGCAGCACCTTGTCCACCTTGAGGGTAACCTCCGCCATAACCCCCTCCTCCATAGCCTCCAGGATTGCCGTATGTGCCCCCCTGGTAAGCTCCTCCACTACTGCCATAGCCACCGCCGGCATTAAATCCTCCACCACCTGAGTAGCCTCCAGCTGGACCGTAGCCTCCGCCGGCGCCATAACCCCCTCCACCGCTGTAGCCTCCACCATAGCCCCCTCCATAGGCTTCATAGGTTACAGGGGCTGTAGTGTTGTAGCCTTGCGTACGAGCATTGGCAAAGTTAACCTTGGCGTGTCAGAGTGCACCACCGAACCATCGCAGCAGCAGCAGGCCGACAAGGATATTTTCTCCATTGAATTCAACCGGACGAGCACTACTAACCGACAATGCTCACCTTGATACGACGACCATCGAGTTCTTGGTCGTTCATTCCACCAATAGCTAAGTCGGCCTCAGATTTTGAACCATAAGTGACGAAACCGAATCCACGCGACTTCCCACTCTCCCCTGAAGTTATAAAAATTCATTTGCTTGAAATGAACGCAGTGCAACAATGAGGGTGCTTAACACTGACGATCACGCATAACGATACACTGCGCATACGAAGTGAACAACCCATGCAGATTGACCATCTCAGATTAAATGTCAAACAGCGTTACGATTCATAAATACGCACGTCTGTAACCAAACCAAACTTTTCGAACGCCTGAATATGAATTGAGTGGGGAAACGTGGCAACGATAAGGGTGAACTCAGTCTCTCAGAACAACAAGGGCGCAAACGCACTTCACGAAGGGTAACATCAGTGGTACCCCAGCTTAAATTCCCTACGGCATTCCAGAATCAGATGAAGAGAAGAAACAGAAGATGGGATCCAAGTCCCCTGATGAAGCAATGCTGCCAGCGAAGTTACACTCAGCAGGTCAATCGCACTCATGCAAGAAATGGAAGAGCATGACTCCCCCTAGGACAAGGTAGGGAAGTGACGAAATGCGCAAACGGACCAACGTAGATTTTTCCTGGATTAACGGACATCTTGGTGTAATGCGTGTGAGGGAGGGAAAGATGAGCTACCTCTACACCGCTACTCACTATTTAAGGCAAGTCGGCACTTCCCTTGGGTCACTTCTTTAGTCACGAGGTCTAGACCCGCATTCAATGGCGTTCCCCGATTTTATTGTATCGGATTGAATTTTATTGACGTCGGCCAATGCTGCGTATTCACTGTCGAAGGCATCCATCCAAGCGCTATCACAAGGCGCCGGCAGAGGAGATACTCATGAATGTATTTCTCGACAATATGACAAGAGGTGGAAGTGAACAACGATGTCTGCAATGAATTAGGTTCTTAGCGCCCAGTTCTGGATTTATTCTATAAAAGCTTGGACTAGTACAAGCCTCTTATACAGGACAAACCATTCCCTTCCCTCTGCTATTGAGAAGTCATTAGTAGCACTTGCATTGATGGATCAGTTCGACTATAATACCCTCTGCATACGTACGTAATCTTTGTAGCCTGCTTATCTGTTCGCCTGCGACCTGTGATCGCGGGATTAGGCTCTATGGAAACACGCGTACTGACTTCCTTCTTCGGTCGCCCGAAGGAAACATAAATTTTTTCATCCCCAGAGATGTGGCGATCGAGGGCCTTTGGGAGGTGACATAGCCGGTTGTCAGAGGTTGTCAGCAACAAGGATGATTGACATCTCTCTCCCCTCCCCCTTTAGTTGGCCTCGCAATATGGAGAAGTAAAAGGTATCAATGTCCCCCCTCCTCAACCACCGTAAGCCCACAGGGTCAAGCTGTCGAATTTGCGCTGACTATATCAACTAATCTTATTCAGGAACCCAGAACGGGGGAACAGGGGATACGGTTTCGTGTCCTATCGACACCCGGATCAGGCCGAGGCCGCATTAAATGCTCTACATAAAAGTGTGTGGGAGGGACGTATACTGGAGGTGCGTTATAGTGAACCATTGCACTTCAGCCCTGAGCATCATCCAAATCAACCAGGTTTCTTATGCGACGGTGGCCCGATTCGAAGGGAGGGGCCGAGAACCTGAGCCGCCTGACCTTCCTCGGCTTCCAATGGACATCCCTGAGCCTCCGCGCGGCCCGGCCGCACCTCGCGGGCCCCTCGGAGACGATGCTGCAAGGCGCCGCGAGCCACGAGAGGGCATACCAGGGGGCAGGCAGGATAATCGCCATATTGAAGGACCAGGGCAAGTCACGGAGCTGCGTCGCAGTCGCAACTGGGACCCCCACGCTGTTGGCCCCGACGGACACCACCAACTTGAACCCCGGGGTCAGGGCAGAAATGAGCCTTCTATCGGGCAGGCAGGCCCTGGGCGTCGTACCTCCGCCGATCCTACTACTGCGGGCTCGAGCCGGAGGCAGCGGGGGGGCTACTCTGGAGAGGAACGAAGTCCCGATGACATACAACATCAACGCAAAACGAAGACAGGTCTGTTTGATCTCAACCATGTATCCGTTTGTTGCTCATCCGTTCTGTAAATCAGATGAATATGGTGTAACTCAGTTACGTTGTAAGTCATTGTCGTATCCCTCATAGTTGTTCCAGAAGCCGCTCATCCTGCAATGTAGACAGTGCCGGCAGTGGCTCATCACGCAACCCAGAGGGTTCGAGCAGTCAACAACACCCCGAGCACCCCAATGCACGGACCGTCAGTGATCTAACCTCGGGATCTTCAAGAGGAGCTTACAGTCTTGGGGATGATTCAAACGTAATGCGCCCACAGCCCACTGCTGGAGGTAGTTCCGGGAGTCAGTACCGCAATGTACAGACTCCCGGAAACCCGATCTCCGGAGCTTCAGGAAGGGTTCACAATCCTAGGGACGATTCAGAAGCACACTTGAGGCGTCCACAGCACTATGCTAGTGGCTCCGACAGTCGTCCAACTCTCAGTCCAGACAGTTCAGATGACCAGTACTTACTGGGCCAGGAAAACCGCTTCAACGTACATGTCAGCAGCAATCCGGCCTCGGGACCAACGGGTCTTTACAGCCCATATGACTCTCCGCTTCCAGAGGGTTTTCAGGGACAAGAGCAGAGCCCCCTCCCATCCACGGATCCCCGGGGGCGACAGGAACACCCCGCATACCCACAAGGTTCGTATTTGTAGACCGTACACGCCGACCAGCCTTACTGAAAAGGGGTCTGTAACAGACCAAAGGCACAATTACGACTCTGGGCGGAGGCCTCACTGATGAGGAACGAAGGGGCGGCCACCATGACGCTGGTCTGATTGGTTCTTGCGTGTCGCGCTTTCCTTAAATTCTAGTGAGCCGCCGGTGCTCACTAATCAGAAATGCTATAGTCTATTCTCTTTCTTTCCACTTGTAACATTTTCGCCTTGCAATGCCCGTATCCACCTTGCAAAGAGTACTTGCATATTTCCTCGTCTGTTTCTCCAGTTTGTATCACCGTGCGCCGATAAATCAAACACGACCTCCGCGTCCCGTGTCTTTCGCTCAGAAGTACGATCACCTTTTTGACAGGCTTCCTGCAACTGCGTCAAATTGAATTCCAATTTGATCACAGATGAACTCTCGAATTTATAGGAGACAATGGCAAGATGGCAGACTTGAAGCTCTACGATCTTAGGTGAGCCTCCACTGCGACTTTGTGTGATGGGACGTTGGCGCCGTCGCATAATGTCATGTTATCGCCATACCAGTATCCGAGCTTGCCGTGCGACACTTCCACTAAGAGCAGGATCCGATGCGAGGGACAGATCTCGCTGGTGCTGCCCAACATGCTGTTAGGCCGCGCGGCCACAGATCATAAAACAGCGCTATATCTCCTGTCAGCATTCCCACCGTACCAGCCCGTTTAGTCAAGATTTCCAAAGTGCAAGGTGGCATGGCATACTTAATTGCGCCTGGTATCCAATTCTTGGGAAGGGCAATTGGATTTTGATTCACTTAGTGAGGTCATTCAGTTGGGAATGCCTTCACAAGATAATGAGATAATGAAGCTTTAACCTTTACCGCATGAGCTTGTCTGCTGCTTTCGTGCCAGGGTGGTGGCATTACAGCCTCATGTCTACTGACCCTCGATTAGCTCATTTGTGTTAGGCCCAAAGGAATTTGGGAGACTGGACTCACGTCATAGCAAATGAGAACCATACTTAGTATGTGGCAATTAATGACGCAAGGCAAAACAAAGATCGATCATGCGTGCTTTGAAAACGTGCAAGCTTGAAGAACTTTCCAGGCCATCGATGCTGTTGTCCTCAGTAGGAGTACGTTCGATGGATTTGCCAGCCGCTGCGTCCCATAGACGGACAAACGCATATCCGACCGATGGAATTTCCACTTTGGGAACTTTCGGTGACAAATCTACCAGCGAAGTGCCTCTTTGAGGCCCTGAATCGATAGGATAATTACGCGATGAAGAAGAGGGTCTATTCCTGGTACGGACTCACAGTCCGAGCGGGGGATGGTTAAGACATGTCAAGAAAGGCGTGAACTCTTAGGTGTATCAGGGCCAAACAATATTTGGAAATAGGACACGAGCTGGGGTGTGGCCAAGCACGATAGCTACGAGGGCCTTCTCAGGCTGTGGAGAATCAGCATCCCGTTGAGATAAGTCGTCGTGGTTCAAGTGAAGTGAACTTGATGAGACAGCTGTCTGCAAACCCATAATTGTCCCGATTCATCCCAGGTGGAAGAACGAATGTTCGGGGTCGAGGTATACCTCAGCGTATGTCAGGTAGCTTTCCTAGGCCCGGTTTGGGCCGCTGGAACCCAAGGAACGGAATTGCAACGGCAGTCAATCGTCGCCGGTGATCGGCTTTCCGATGAAATGAGCCACATGGAGAGATTCTGGACAAAGCGGATCATGATAGCTGCTCAGCCTGCCAGAAAACTCTTCGAAAACTCTTGTAATTTTATGTTGCGTCGATACAAGAACCCACACGCAAGTGGTTACGACAATACAATATGACAGTATTATGATTCGGACAACTCCGCTACAATACACGCTAAGGTCGAGACTGACCTCGTTGACCGATAAGACGAAACAGAAGTGAAAGCCAGACTAAAAAGACCAAAAGAAAACACAACACTTGCACACCAGAAACACTAGAAAGAACAATGAATTCAACGCTTGTACCGTCACATGATGAGTGTCTGGACCAAATATTTAACTGACGCCGAGTTGCGCCCGGCTGTCGTGAATCGGCAGTAGAGGGTGTCATTGAAGCAGCACTCCCCAATCGGCCCTTCTTATCGCCGAGTGGGCAAACTGAGGCACTTGCTCCGCGCTGTGAAATCCCAAGCGCTCAAGGCCCCTTTCCTTATTCAATTGCCAGCATTAAATCGATCACTGAATCATTGCAAGCACTTGCTTCAGGCTACCATATTCCCTTTCCCCCATCCATCAACCATGGCGGCCCATCCTGAGCCCTCACCTAACAAGACCATATGTATAAGTGAGCGCAATTCTATTTCGTCCCCGACCTAGTCGAAGCGGCCAGAGAATGGGACACCTCGGGCTCAAAACACGTGTAGGATACTGATGGCGCCTACCTACAGGAAATCTGGACTTCGACACAACTCCCGAGATCATCTCACATGTATGTACCGCATTGATCCTGGAAATATCGGCCGTCTCAAACATCACCTCGTGCCCCTCTGAAGTACGCAGAGCGCTACGGCGACGTCAGAAACGTCGTCCTCCCTCATAATCCGTAGGCGCCTGCACTCGATCCGCAGTTTTTGACGATCGGCTGATAAAATATGTCATTCAGAGAGACAGGGCGTTTACGTGGGTTTGGATTTGTCGAGTTCGCTACTCAAGATGGGGCCGATAGGGCACGGGTAAATCTGGACGGCAGAGTGATCCTACGAAGGAGAGTAACGGTCAGTCCTGCCTTGCCCAATCCTTGTGATCGGACGACTCACTTGTGTGATCAAGGTCACCTATGCCATTATTCCGGCTCTGGGGCCTCCCCCTGTTGGCCATCTACCCGCACCCGCACCCGCACCCCCACGCCCAATAAGAATACCAGCACCGCGAGTGCCCGACCCACACCCCCCACACCCTCCACACCCTCCTCATCCTCCACACGTTCAACCCGATGGTGAGTCTTCCGCCTGCGTCCCGCACACTGACTGAATGGAGCGAAGGTCCTTCAGAGGAACCTCGCAGGCGTCCTCCGCCTGGCGGGCCCGACAGTCGTCCGCTCGACGGTGGAAGGGCGGGGGCCCAGGTACACGAACCTAGGGACCGGGACCGACACTACCATTACCACAACAGGCAACACGAGCCTGCTGGGTCATCTCAAAGAGTGCCGGAACCTCGCGGCTGGTACGACCCAGATGGTGAGTGCATCCCACGTTCGCAGTAAACTACTTGTGAAACAATTGTGCCCAGCCTATAATCCCACAAATCCTATGGCATGGCAGGATTCACAACACGGTCAGGATTACCTTTCTGTGATAGACCTTGCACATTTTCTTACAGAGAGAACTTCCCAGTGCACTCAAGAGACCGTCATCAGTCGGATGCTGCTGAGCTCGACGAGGAGGGTGAGATGATAGATGAGGCACCACACACGGATCTTCCAGTACGGGACCCCGATCCTCCAGTGGTCGTACCGCCAACACAGTTCAATGCTCCAACTCCTGGTAATACCCATGGCAATGCGTACCAAGTTCACCAGCAACTGCCAGCAGGAGTTCGTCACGAAGCACCTAACCCCGCAGCACGTAATACTCTCGGAGGTGGGATCTATGGCTCTCGAAGTCAGTGCATTTATGTCTTCTTCGTCGCCGCTAGGCGTTGCTGATTTAGGAAACCGGACCAGATGATTCTGAACCCCAATATCAACAGCACCCTTATGGCCCAAATCATCAATTCTAGGGTGACGTGATCAGATTTAATGGCCATTGGCTCTGCGACTGTTGTGCCGCGATCTATGCTTTCCTGTCTCATGTACATTACTTGTGTGAAAGTTGAAACAATTTGGGTGCCGTCGTCGTTAGACTTCTGTGTTTTCAATCCATTGTATGGACACTGCCTGCTGCGTATATAGTTATCAAACACGAATTGGCGGGCGGGATTCATTCCAGATTGTTAGGTTCGGCATAGCTTACTTAAGACCGGGCATCGCCTGACGTGAGCAACAAAAGATATTGCGCTGGGAGTAGAAACCGAAAGCAACAAAAAGGAGTGTGAATATCGATAAGCAGGGTTGGGTTCTTTATGTATTGGTGGGAAACACGTTGGTATGATTCGCAAACCTGACAGAATCTCGCAGCGAAGGGAACAATATTGAGAAAGTCAGCTTTTGAGCCAATTGTATGGGGGTTGAGGGGATAAGGATAAGTAACAGATATGGACTAGTGTGTGGAAAGGGGTGGGATCCGGTGTGAAAAAGGACAGCCTTTCCTCTCCTTTCTTGGTCCGGTATCAAAGGACCGCGGGGCGGCCGCTGCAATGGGTAAACGTCCAGTCACAGGTTGGGCTGAATGTAAACCGCGCGTTAGAGAGAAGAGAAGGCGCTGCAAGGCGCAACCCGTGTAACGCCATCAAATCATAACCACACATGAAATCAAGCGCGCCTAAGGCGTATTGTTGAGGTATAAAGGGGTGAACGAGTCAGAGATTGAAGGATTTGGACCCCCATCTGTTTAATCTACAGTTGTGATCGCATGGCCCAGCACACAAAGACACCTTATTCGACTGGACCCACCGCTGACAGTAATGGTGTCTTTAATGACTATGTTCTGGACGGCTGGGACGAAGAGGCATACGCGCGTGAGGCACAGGAAGAGGCACTATCTATGAGCCAAATGCCCCCGTCAACGAAGGTGAACGATGCTTCTTTCATCCAATCGTCTCGTGCACCCCTACCTAGTTACGGGGGATCAAACCATACTTCGAAAGAGAACACCATCCATTCTGGGGTCGCGCAGCCTCGGGCTCCTTCACGATTCAACAACCACAAAATTCCATCTCCTGGCGACGGTCTTCGAAACAATCGGGTGCCTCATCATGCTGAGGCTTCAGGATTCTTCCCCTCCCCGCCTAAGTCTGACCACGAAGGGAGAAATGTTGATCGGCGGCAGCAACGTCCGCAATATCCATCCTATGGAGGTTCGGATGGTCTTTCCCCGAAGGGGATCGTGCCTTCAGAAACAATGGATCCTACTCAGTTCAACATGCCCCGAGCGCGCACGAGTGATCCCAGGGCTAGGGATCACCAATACCCCTCTCCGGGCGACAGTCTTCGAAACGCCGATTCTTCGTTCCTTTATACTCCACCTAAATCTGACCGTGGGCCATATTCATCGAGCCCCGAGGCTCCTATGCAGAATGTTATTACGCCCACCCGACCACACACATCTGTTCCCAACGCCAGCGATCATCAATTCCCGTCTCCAGGCGATGCTTTTGGAGCCAGCCAGGAGCCTTTTCGCTCTGATCCTTCAGCATTCAGTTACTCACAGCCTAAATCTGGTCGCGCACGACATTCATTCAATGCGGGGGTTCCTAAGAAGGATGTCATTGTACCTAACGATCACTACCAAATTCCTCCGGGTGAGAGCCGTGGAAGCAAACGACGTGATGGGTCCTCAAGACCCTCCCGCACGTCGCCTAAGTTTGTGCATGAAGGAGAATACGACGATCATACGGCACATCTGTCCTATGGGGGTGCGAGAGCTCCTACGGGAGGCATGGAATATTCTGCACGATCTAATATGCCTGCCCACAATCTCGGAAGCGATCATCTCCAAGTCCCATCTGCCAGCGAGAGTTATCAGACAAGGCCTTCGAAATCTCGCGCGTCATCTCGTCCTGAGCACATCGAAGAGCACGCCCAATATCCACAGAATTCCCAGTTTGCGCAACATCAGCCACGCCATCCCCGGAAGTCGGGGACGCTGTCTGAGGACCAGCATCATCCGCCCGGGCGCTCTCATGCCAAGCCCGTCCCTCCTATGAACCCAGGACTCAACCAGCCCTCGTATTGGACTCATTCTGGTAAGCCTCAGGTTGCCGATCAGATTGCCGAAAATATGGCTTACCGCTTTCAACCACATGCAATGCAGATACCGTTTTACAAGCTATCCCTGAGCCACATGAAATGTATCAGGGAGGCTACCAGCCCGGCTATGTCGCAGTTGGACAACCTATCTCGTATATACCTCCCTCATCTGTTCAAGTTCCACTACAACCCGTTCTACCTCCCGTACCGGCCTATGTGTTGGCTCCAGGCTATGGTGTCGTTGGTGTACCGCTTGCGATGGGCTACTAAAAAGCGTTCACGAGGGCATCGAGGGCTGCCCACGCTCCTAACTATTCTTCCCATACCCCAGCTCCCTTTACGAACGGACATTTGATGTTGCCAATCTATAATTCCTCTAATCTAGCCACATGCAGGAGCCCCGCGCCCGCCCGCAGCTGCCTGAGTTAAGAAATGATCCACCGTTTATGAAGTATCTGAAATAACATCTGACCATATTGGGTCAGCAAGCCGCATGATTAGGGCCAAATTTACAACCGTTTGGGATTGTGCTGCAGTGAACGAAAGGGACCGTGATCGAAGGAGGCTTTCGAGGGTCAACAACCTGGCAGTTATGCGACCATAACTTCGCGGTCAGAGATGCATAGTCAGGTTCGTGGCGACGGCAGGCAAGCACCTAATCCGAGGAGGCGGTTGACCGGCCTAAGGCGTGCCGGTAGTGCTGACGTTGGCAAGTCTTACGATAACAGTGCCGGGAATGATGGGAACGATGTCAGTGACAACAGGCACTCTGAGGAAATCAAGCAAGGACCCGGCATTGGTAGCGGTGCTGGGGTGTCTGGACAAGGCGCCGGTTACAGTGTGGGTGACTTGGAGAACTACGTCTCAAGTGACCAAGATGACGAAGCATACGTGCTCGATACAGGAGCAGAATGGGCACTACCCATAGGCCAACCGCACGCGTCAACGAAGGTCAATGGCGGGAGCGGGCCTTCTTCTTTCACTCAATCATCTTAGGTCTCCAGTCATGATCGCATGGCTCCGCACTCAGAGGCGCGTCACCGGAGTCAAGTTGCCGTTAATGGTATTGATGACTTTGATGGCTATGTTTTGGATGACTGGGACGAAGAAGCATACGCGCGCGGTGCTGAAGCGCAGCTGGCGCCACCCGTGAGCCAGCCGCGCACGTCAACGAAGTTGAACGGCGGGAGCGGGCCTTCTTCTTTCATCCAATCATCTCATCCACCCCTGCTGGACGGCGCATATAATGATGGAGGATCTGACTACCACCAAGCTCCATCCCTTAGTGACGGTTCTCGAAGCAATCAGATGCCATATCATGTTGAGGCTTCAGAATTCGTCCACAAGGGGCCTATGTCTGACCATGAAGGAATGAATGCTGACCGGCGCCAGCAACGTCCGCTATACCCATCCTGTGGAAGTTCGAGTGGTCCTTCTACGAAAGGAGTGGTCACACCAGCGAATTTCAACGTGGACCAACGACGCACAAGTGTTCCCGAAGCCAGCGTTGACCAAGTCCGGTCTCCGGGCGACAGTTCTTTCCGCCTTGATCACTCACCATTTGATCACACTCCACCCAAATCTGACCATGGATCATATCCGTCAAGTCCAAGGGTTCGTATGAAGGATGTTATTGGTGAACCATCGCAACGATTTTACGAGGGTGTCGAGGACTGTAACTTCTGCTGTATATCCATCATATATATCCCGGGCCCTTTACTCGGGATTCTTGAGCATTGTGTACTATCTGCGATTACGTTCCGTGGAGCCTCGCGAGCGCTCGTCCCGACAGCCCGAGTTATTTAAAGTGTACAACAAATGGTTGACTAGTTATAGGTATCTCGGGTACCGGGGATATTGGATCCATTAGCCACATGATTCCTGCGCAACCAAGCGATACCAAGAACTTGAATGAGCAATCATGCGGGGCCCAAATTCGCAATCCCTGGGATCTGTACTGCGATGTCGCTGAATAAAAGGGGTGGGCCTGGCCTTTGGGCTTTCGCTCACCATTAACAACCCCTCAGCTGTGAACTCATGGCTTCTGGCTTTGAGAAACGCATTGGCAGTCTGGGTCACAGCGATGTCGACGACGTCGGCGTTGGCACTTACTATGGTGACGGTGGCGAGGTTGACACCGGTCAGAGTGATGAGGGATTTGGTGACTATTTTCTAGATGATTGGGACGAAGATGCGTACGCGCTCGAGGTAGGAGCGGATCAAGCGCCCATCAGTCGGCCGGTTGCGTCGGTGGAAATGAATGCCGAGAGAGCGGCATTTCCATTCGTCCAATCGCCTCGTGGGTCCCTGCCGGACGACCTGTATTACCATCCAAGAGTATTTACGCAATCTCCTTCGCAATTCGATGCAGCCCGACCCACTGTCGATAGCGAAGTTAACCATTCCCCAGTCCCTTCTGGCGAATATAGTTATGATGGGTCTTCAAGCGCCCATATGCCACTCAGGTCTGTGCACGAAGAACAGCACGTTGATCAGCATCAGGAGTACACAAGATTCTCACTCCACGGGGCCGCTCCTACCCTGCCTTCAGGAATCCCGGAACATCCAGCACAGGTGAACGTGTCTCGATTTGCCCACGATCCCAGAAGCCATCGCCACCTAGTTTCATCTCCCAATGAGAGCTATTGGAACAGTGAAGGGTCTTACCACATTTGGCCTGCAAGATCTCGCACGTCGCCTGATTCTGAACACGAAGAACATCCCGACTACATCAAATATTCCCAATTTCCTGGGCCTCAGAAATACCATTCTCGCACATGGCAGAAGCCGAGAACAGATCAGTATTGTCCGACTAAACGGTTTCGTGAGAAGTACGTTCTTCCTAGGCAGTCAAAATGCAACCAGTCCTCGAGTCGCACGTATTATGGTGAGTCTGGAGTTCCTGATTGTAAATCATAAGAATGGTGCCTAATCGCCTTTATCCATATACAATGCAGATGCTGTTTCACAAGGTACCCATCAGTCATACTCCTACCCTATGTATGAGCAATATCAGGGAGCATACCGGCCAGATTATGAAGCCGTTGGATTTCCTATCCCTTATAGGCCTCCAGCCCAATTTGTTGTTCCACCCGTCAGGGGTTATGTGTTGGCTCCCGCGGTCCAACCTGGTTTATACCCTCATCCCTACCTGCCTACACAAGCTATGATCCCTTTCGGCGCACCCCTCCCGATAATGCACCAATAGGTACTTACGAGATTTCCAACAACTACGCATTTGCTGTTCGCCAAGAACAATACTAATTAGTGCGCCTGTTCTTCATTTGCTCTGAAGTTTGCGTATTTGCATCAGAAGCGTTTTCTGCGATGCGTTGGATTTGTGATCGCACTCACATTTGAGGTCATGTCCGTCGTCATTAAATCTGATGGCGAAGCCAGGAAAGGAGGATTCAGCCCCACGCTATCCTCGGCGGCGCGGGTCCAGATGTACAAGGAATAACTGGTGGATGCCGGTAGAACCCGCTACTCTTCTCGCCTTGCACGTCCGATTACTTTCATTTGGCAAGCTGTTTGCGAATCCGAACTTTCGCGAAGGGGGCCTATTGCAGGAAATATCATAGTGCGCAGGCCCTCATGGAAAGGTTATAGGAGCGGTGGCAATGAACGCTTTAGTGCATGGAGATAGGTACACAACCAAGGAGCATCCTAACAGTCGGCATTCAATGAATGTAGGGTGTTAAGCGCGACCGTTTATCGCTGATCGTTAAAGAGTTAAACAGGAAGACAGATCCAACGCACAAATAGTGCGGCCGCAAATTCATGCGGATAATTTAGAGGATAGGATGATAAGCAGAAAACCTATTAGTGTTAGGCGATGCCGTGACGGCGAGTGATGTTCGAGCTTATATTACGAGTGACACGACGGTGACGTGCTTCCAGTGATAAAATTCTGGTGGCATGGGTACTGCCCTATCCGAGTCGTCCAAACTTACTTTGTTGCTGATCAGTGAGGGCACACACGGGAAGGGTCAGCGTGCGGAGATATGGAGTAGTTGGAGAATCGAGCTGCTGAGGGATGGAGGTGATTGCCAGGTAAAGCAGACCTGGGTGCTGAACGACGCTCGATTCCGATGTAGGTACGGCCCGCAGCCTCGTTGGGGAAGAGCACAATCATTTTCCGGCACTACGAAGGGAGTGCGATCATATTTGCGGGAATCGTCTACGACATGTGTGCTTGTCAAAGTTGGGGAAGGCGGAAAGCGGAATGTTCACAGAAATGCCATGGTTTTGTGCGTCGTAAGTCCTCGTATGAGAAGGCGCCGGTACGGGGTTAGGGGCCATTGGGGCCAGGGAGCTGAAGGGAATGTGTTGAGAGAGACACAAGTAGGATTCATTGCGGAAGTAAGGTTGGCCAGCGTGAGTGCAAAGATAAGGGAGGTGGAAGGGGGGGATGAAAATAAGGGAATTGGCAATAATAGAGAACCCTGTCATTCATCCATTCAATTCGGGAGCGAAAAATTTGACAGAGTAGCGGGAATGTTGATTATTCATGCAGTACCCATGGGTACCGAGAATTCAAGAGGCACATGAACATTACGAGAGGCGCTATTGAGAATAAGCGCTCATGTACCACGTCGCATTTGGATTCCTTTAGAACTATACCACAATAAAGTGAGTGGCAGCTTTGAGGCCCTTGTTAAGGGTATAAAAGGATCATTGAGGTTGGGAAAATGACTCTGAGCGCTATCCTTCAGTTAGATTTCCGACCCAGATTAACTACCCGCTAACTGTGGTCGTATGGCGTCGTACTCGGACACTCATAATGAGAGCCACGACGTTAATGGCTTTCAGAAGTACGTCCTGGAAGGCTGGGACGAAGAAGCATATGCGAGAGAAGCTGAAAGCGCCCAGGCACCTGCCAAAAAACCATTTCCGCCAGCGGTGAACATCGCTCACAGCGGTGGCGGCGGGCACAGCTATAGCGCCAGCGGCGAGACGAACGACTACGGCGGCAATGTTGATGATTTCGAGGGCTATCGTCTGTCTACTTGGAACGAAGAGGAAAGAAGGCGCTGGATTGAAGGCGAAGATATAGGACCACCCCCGTCACCAATCAGAACGCCGGCGTCTGCAGAGACTCGTTTAGCCGCGCTAGACGATGCACGCTATCGTCAGAGCGTGGGCGCAGCCGTAAATGGGAGCATTGCCCCTCCAGGAATCGCGGAATCCCCTTCACAATTTGGTGCGCGCCAACCACACGTCATCGATTCTAGCCACCAGCAAGTCCAAACTCGAAGCAACAACTATCGAAATAGCTGGGAACACCATGACGATGAGTCTTCAGAATTGGTCCGCACCTCATCAAAGTTTGAACGCGAAGACGGGCACGCCGAGCTGGGTGAGCCGCCTGCGCCATATCCACACTACGGAAGTATGTGTGTCCCTCTGAAGGATGTCATCATACACTTAAGTAAGAGTTGCAGAACGTCCTGGGCAAGCCAACGTGCATCAGTCACTTGATCACGATCATCAAATCAGTCAACTTCTGTCTTTGGGCGACGGCCGTCGAAACAGTCGAGAATACAATCTTGATGGGCTTCCCAGATCCGCTCGCGTATCACCTAGGTCTGGGCATGGAGATGAATACGTCGACCAGGATGGAGGGCATGCGGGACACCAATACTCCACATACAACGCAGATGCTGCTCTGCTCAGCACCCGTCAGCTAAGCACCCAAAGCGGAGAATCGATATATGAAAAGTATCGGGGACCATACCCGACGCTCTATGATGCAGTTGGACCCCCCGTCCTGTATACGCCTCCAGCACCACATTTTGGTGGCGATGTACTAACTTCCGCGATCCAACCCAATGTTCTGTGGCCCACACTAGTCTCTGTCCCTGTTGTCATCCCTGTAGTCGCAGCACTACCGGTGGTGCGCTCGGACGGGGAGCCCTCTCTGACTCCATACACGATAACGACCGACAAGCTCGTTTTCCCTTTACTTCACAGAACTGTGTAAGAGGCTCATTTTGGGTTAGACAGTGCATGTTGCTGGTCTGCGATCACCTTGTATTCGAGATTGTACTTGTGACCATCTGACCACCAAACCCGCAAGGGATGAATAGATCAGGCGCCCAGCACCCCAAAGATACAAGACGTGATTGACAATTCGCGCGCATGCGACACTGACACGAGGATCCGCAAACGGCAGGAGCGCTGTAGAAGATCTAGGCATCACACTGGGACCGAGAACAAGCGATCATACTGGGCCATTTCTGCAGTGCGTGCGTACGTGTGTATGCGACTTTTGGATATTTAGCTTGCAGTACTTCAGGCATGCTCCCATATTTGCGGTCAAGGATCTATACTGCAATACAACTAGCGAAAAGTCATATTGGTTTTGAGGTTTGGCGGAGAGCTCGCTAAAGTGGAGAAATAACAACGCAGACCAAGACGGAAATTTTTGTGGATCTGGGCCCTGGGGTGTGATGCGGCCCGGTGAATTGTAACCATGCTTCTTTTGCTTCCGAGAATTTATGGAACCGAGACTTGGGGAAAACTTTATAAGGGCACTGTGGGCTTCGGGGAAAATGTCGTGGAGGTCACAGTACTCTCTCAGTCGGCCTCAGCATGGCAGACGCTTCTCAATTTATCTTCTTCACGATCACTCCGCCGCATTTCAGAACACCGTAAGAATGCACGTTTTCTTGTTTGGATTCGGAGGCTTGAATATTATCTTTGTAAATGTGGAATATAGTCTGTGGAGAGAACCGCTTGTGGTCCCGGTCTACTTGGCTGCTCTATCTGCTGCAATTCTAGTCTTGCAGATCGCTAGGCGGACGAAACGTGTTCGACGACTACTGGTGCGGTTGGGTTTCGCGAGCCCACCTGGATCGAAGTCCGATAGTCAGCGTTTAGATGGCGGTTTGCTTCTTGATGATGTCCATGCAGGATTCTGGTCAGAGGCTCGGCAGAACATAGAAAAACAGGGGGTCGCCAGCTTCGTCTTGAGAACAATGCGTTTTATTGCGTGCGTCGCGCTCGTCATCATTACCATCATCGCGTTCGTTCAGTATGAGGAAGACCTTGGAAGGAGCCACGGGAAAAGTGGGCCGCTGTCGGCTATGACCAGAAACCGTAAGAAAGAAGCAAAGCATCAGGCGGCCATTCATCATGCCGAATGGATTGAAGTGGCATTATGCGCTTTCTACGTATGTCGTGAGCGGTATACTAATCTCGATTGCTCACCACATCCTCCATGGACAGACATATACATCCTTACTTTCTTTGCTATCCATCACACTGCGATCTGTCCTGCGCAGGACTGTCATCAAGCACTTGGTTTTCCTGCTTCTTGTCGTCTTTGGTATCTATGCGTATCGTGATATTTGGCCATTGGCAACGTTCGTTCTAAAGCCCCTAGATGCAGCTGGTGGTTGGCTTACCTGGTCTCGGATTGGTTTACTCGGATTGGCAGCTGTGGTGCTTCCTGTAATCACACCTGCCGAGTACACGCCAGTCGATCCGCTTGTATGTCCTACTTTAGTGTAAATCAACTATCTGAACAGCGAGTACCGTTCATCGTAGAATCCTCGTGGACCGAGTCCGGAACAGACCGCCTCCCCACTTTCATTTATTCTTTTCGCTTTCCTCGATCCCATTGTCATCACTGCCTTTAAACACACTCATCTGCCATACGAAGAGCTGCCTAAACTTGCCGATTACGATGTTGCGCAACACTTGAAGGATACATCGTTCCCAAAACTTGATCCGAAGTTGGTCAAAAAGCCGAAGCACTTGATGTGGGGCTTATTGGATCTGTTCAGTATGTTTCGATTGCTGAGGACATCGGAAACATCTGTGGACCAATGAACATTCCTTCAGGAGGCGACTATGTTTTCTTGACCATTGCGATGGCTGCCAGGACGTGTCTCGGCTTCGCGTCTCCGGTCGCTGTTTATCAGCTTCTCCGGTGAGTGACGGCCATTGCGACCATACTGGATTTTCGTTGCCTCATGCATTTTACAGGTACATCGAGACTGGGGGTGAAGGTGCTTTCATCCGCCCTTGGCAAGTCAAGCAGCGCACCCCAACAAAGTTATGCGCTGACACCTTTCATGACAGGGTTTGGGTGGCAATTTTGTTCTTTTCCCCTGTAGTTTCCTCGATCCTCATGCAGATCTACATCTTCGTTGCAGTAAGTCTCCCGTGGAAGATCAAGAAGTCTCATCCTGATTATCAACTGTTTGTCCCGTAGACACGCATTCTTGTCAGAGTCGAAGGCATTCTCACTCAGCTCATTTTTGAGCATGCTCTTCGGATCCGTGTCAAGGAGGACGTGCCCTCGAAGACAACCATCTCGACGCCTGCTTCTGGATCTATCTCCGTGGTCGCGACTCCTAAAACCCAGACTACTGAACTCCCAGACGAGGGAAGTGATGGAACTCAACGGCCCCCAAGTGAAGTTGGTTCATCAGCGGCTGGCGATGCTACTATTGCTGTTGTGAGCTCCATTCCTGAGAATGGTGGTGGGAAGGACAAAGGAAAAGATAAAGTTGCTGGGGCCGAGCAGAAGGGAGAAAACGACAAAGATAAAGGGAGTAATCTTGTCGGCCGAATCAATAACCTCATTTCAACCGATTTAGAGAACATTACGGAAGGTCGAGATTTCCTCTTCGTGCTCGTTTATGCACCTTTGCAAATTGCCTTGTGTATATGGTTCTTGTACACGATTCTTGGATGGAGGTAAGCATGCCACTATTTTGACACATGTCCAAGTTCAAGTCCACTCACTCTTTTGCAATTGGAGTTCATTTGTTGGAATGGGTTTGATGATTCTCAGTTTCCCCATCCCTGGTACGTCATGGGGCAGAGAGTTTCTCATTGGAAGTTCGCGATTGCTAAGTTTGAATTTCTGGCAGGCAAAATTGCGAGCTTGTCCCACCAAGTTCAAGTCGAACGCATGAAGAAGATGGATGATCGCGTACAATTGGTTACAGAGAGTGAGTATGCCTGTCATTAGTTCATGGGGCCTGAGCTTATAGTTTCGTTTGCAGTCATGAATGTCTTGCGCATGATCAAGATGTTCGGGTGGGAATGGAAGACCGCTGAACAATTGAGTGTGAAGCGAGAAGTTGAGCTCGTATGGATTCGAAAGAGAGCCTACCTTAATCTACTTAACATGGTTGTTAAGTACGTGAGGAATGTGTCCGTTTCGAATCGTGTTCCTGACTTGCCCTACCATCTTCCAGCTATGTCCTTCCGCTCACCACTATGTTGGCTACTTTCATCACCTACACGGTGATCATGAAGAAGCCTTTATCAGGTATGTGAACAGTTTGGAGGGGTCTGACAAATGGGCTTAATCTTCATGATTGGTGCCTCCAGCTTCAAAGGTGTTTCTGGTTCGTCAGAGACGGTTTGTTGCAATTGCTAAAATCTTGGATGAAAGGTCTTCTCGTCGCTCACGGTTTTCGATTCCCTAAGAGATCAGGTAGGGTTTCACGGGGTAGTGTGGCAAGTGTCTCCGCTCACCGATGATCTTTTCAGCTTCACTACGTATTCTTCTTCGTGCCGATGCTTATCCAGTCGAAGGTATCAGTGGACCGTGTCAACGGTGAGATATTTCAGGAGCATTCACTCTAACTGTCTCTGACAAGTTGCATTTGCATTCCAGATTTCCTTACATCGGTGCTGATAGTTGTTGGACCTGAGGTGATGTGGACTGATCTTTGATTCTCTCAGACCGAACTTTTGGACCGGTATGTCAAGCCGGAAAACGAGAACATCGCGGCCGAGTTCTCCGTACCCGGGGCGGATACGATAGCCATCGGTTTCCACAACGCCACATTTACTTGGTCAGAGGCGCAGGCTGAAAGTACTCCTGCGACACCAGGGAGACGTAATTTCCATCTCAGGATAGACGGAGATCTCCTGTTTGAACGTGGAGCAATCAATCTGATTGTGGGCCCCACAGGTTCTGGGAAGACTTCTCTCTTGCTAGCTCTATTGGGCGAGTTGCATTTCACACCACCAGGGCCGGATTCCTGGTTTAATCTCCCCAGGGAAAATGGTATTGCTTACTCGGCTCAGGAACCTTGGATTCTCAACGAGACAATCAAGGCAAGGATTGAAGCTCAGGTCTTGGCCTTCTACTATTTAACCTTCAGCTTCCTCGCCTTTGTAGGATAATATCCTGTTTGGGCAGGAGTTTAATGAGGAGAGGTACAGGAAAGGTAACCATTCCAGAACATCATCGTTGTTCGTTAATCGATCTTGGCTGGACCATAGTCCTTTACCAATGTGCCCTTGATCGGGATCTCGAACTTTTCGATGTAAGTCATCGTACTACATGTCTTGTTGCACGTCTTCACCAGTTTCTTGGCAGGCTGGTGATGCAACAGAGGTATGGTTTCAGCGGTCATCAGTGAGGCACGAACTGCTGATCGCATGGCCGCGTGCAGGTTGGAGAAAAAGGATTGACACTCAGGTACACTCCGAGCATTGTTTTGTCGCGTACTTCATATTGATCTTGCTTTAGCGGTGGTCAAAAGGTAGGGGTCATAGTTTGCGCAAGGCAGAGCATTCATGATGTGCACCTGGCAGGCCCGGATCAGCTTGGCGCGGGCCATTTATTCCAAGGTGTGACATTTTTCAATATTCTGCTTCCTCTCGGCTAATGATGGCCTGATAGGCTGAGATCGTGCTTCTCGATGACGTCTTGTCCGCATTGGATGTCCACACGTCGCGCTGGATTGTCGACAACTGCTTTGCTGGAGGCCTCCTTCTGGGTCGTACATTGATCCTCGTGACTCACAATATCGCACTGGCTGGACCTCTCGCGAAGTTTGTCGTTTCCATCGGGTCCGATGGGAGAATTGCAAGTCAGGGTTCGGTCGGCGACGCGTTGAGTCACAACTCAGCCCTTGCGAGTGAACTTGCGAAGCAAGAGAAAAAAGGAAGCAACGCCGATGAAGCTGCTGATGATTCTGCGGCGCCAAAGGATGATAGGAAGGCTAATGGCAAGCTCATCGCAGATGAGGAGATTGCGCTCGGTCATGTTAGTCCTGCTGCAAGTGAGTTTTTCAAGCCACCGTTCACCCCTAGCGTCTAATATTGATCATCTTCTCAGTGTGGCTCTACTTCTCGGCAATGGGAGGCCCAACCTTTTGGATTCTGTACTTTGGCGCGATGTTATTTTGTGACACCATGGCAGTGTGTGTGCATCACTAACCCCTGTCAAGTATGAAGTCTGACTTCACTTTAGCCTGCAAACTTGGTGGCTTGGACATTGGGCATCTCAGTACGACGGCGGTGCACAGAATGTCAGCGTACCCTAGTAAGTGGTCCTAGATGCCCCTGTTTCCTCCACTGAAGAACTTACCTCTTTTTAGCTATCTCCTCGTTTACGCCCTCTCCATCCTTGTTAGCGTCGGGGTATATTCGAATGGCTTCCTCCTGTACGTCCAGGGGAGTATAGCTGCTTCACGAAAAATCCATGCCAGACTGGTGCAATCAATTCTGGGAACTACTCTTCGATTTCTTGATAAGACGCCCATCGGGCGTATCATCGCTCGGTTCACTCGTGATATTTGGGCAGTTGACAGCTCTCTGAGCGCATATGTCCAGGATCTGAGTGAATTAACTACTTTCATGTTACTCAAACTATTGGCGGTGGTGTACTTCTCGCCAGTGTTCTTGGCTCCGGGGATTGCTTTTGCTCTAGTTGGCGGCCTTATTGGCCAAATATATATTAAAGCGCAACTCGCTGTCAAACGGTCGGTCTAGTGACTCGGGATTCTTGGTCTTCTCCATTTAATTGTCTCTTAGTGAAATGAGCAATGCTCGTTCACCTCTGTTCAGTCATTTTGGGGCTGCCATTGGAGGCCTTACGTCCATTCGGGCATACGGTGCCGAGACAGCATTCAAGTCCGAGTCTCTGAAGCGTGTCGACAAATACACGCGTCCGGCTCGGGTTTTCTATAATTTGAACCGGTATGTGCATCCATGCCTCATCTACCCTATGGCCAACTCTTTCTAGGTGGGTGTGTATTCGTATCGACGCGCTCGGAGGGTTGTTTGCGGCAGGCCTTGCAGCGTGAGTGCTGTTGCATGCCTTTTGTGGTGAATCAGTGATTACACAATATCCTAGTTATGTGGTGTACGTCCACCCGGTTAACAACGCTTCGAACGCGGGTCTCCAGTTGAATATGGCTATAGGCTTTACAGGCCTGCTTCTTTGGTGGTATGTTGGCACTTCTTCCTTCAACAAGCTAGCCTCCGAATCCACACCACTTCTTAGGGTGCGGATATTGAACGACATTGAAGTCTCTGGTATGTGATTTATCCCCTTGACGTACAATTGTTTCTTACAGACATCTAGGCAATAGTCTAGAACGAATCCAAGCGTATCTTGATATTGACCGGGAACCCGAACCTACGGAGTCAGGCAAGCCGCCAGCATCCTGGCCCACCTCTGGCAACCTCACCATGGATAAACTCTCTGCTCGGTATTCACATGATGGACCGACTGTTCTTCATGAGTTATCATTTGAAATTAAGTCTGGCGAGAAAGTGGGCGTCGGTGAGTTGGATTACGCCGCTGTAAAAGCAAGATAATGTTCTGATAGGAGTCATAGTTGGTCGTACAGGATCCGGCAAGAGTTCAATGACGCTGAGCCTTCTCCGCCTGATCCCAACAGAAGGGACTGTCGCTTACGATGGAATACCTACGAGCTCCCTTAACTTGGACACACTGCGAGGGAACATCACAATTATCCCCCAACAGCCAGAGCTGCTGGTAAGTTACAGGGCTATGTTCAAATGATCAAGCTTCACTAACCTTTCGTGTAGGCAGGTTCTATCCGCCAGAACTTGGATCCTTTTGAGCAGCATGATGACGCAACTCTGAACAACGCCCTTCGTTCCGCAGGTCTTTTCGTCCTGCAACAGGACCTGGAGGAGAGCGAACGCATCACCCTTGACTCAACAGTTACCAGTGGTGGGGGAAATTTCTCGCTTGGACAGCGACAAATCCTTGCCCTAGCCAGAGCTCTTGTTCGCCAGAGCAAAATCTTGATCATGGACGAAGCCACTGCTTCCCTAGGTGGGTTTGTGTATTTGTGAACATGAATGGGGTACCGATGCCGTTTTCTAGACCATCATACGGATTCAATTGTTCAGGAGTCTCTGAGAACTGAGTTTAAGGATTACACGATCATCACGGTTGCACATCGCCTTCAAACTATCATGGACTCGGACAAGATACTGGTCTTAGACGCTGGAAAGTTGATCGAGTTTGATAGCCCGGTAAACCTGCTAAGGCGGGAAGGCGGGGCTTTCAAGTCATTGGTTGATGGAAGTGGTGACAAAGATGCGCTCTACGCAGTAGTAAAGGGTTTGACAGCACAAGAGAGTTAAGCAAATTAGCACTAGAGTCAGCAAAATTTATGTATTTAACCACGATGGCAGCTGGCGCGGGGCCTGGAATCCAGCGGTCGTAGACTTATGAATTAGGATCGACCAATCAGCTGCACATAAGCGGAGTTGTCCGAATGGATTTGTTATATTTGTTGGTCGAAGCAGCATGTTCAATGGGATTTTGAATTGGAATCTCCAGATTGTATCGAGCCACCATCGTTCTATTTGGTGATAGAAGGGCACGTTGCAGAGATCTTGCAAAGAGAACGCGTTTGGGGATCTAATACGGACTTTCCACACGCCTGATCTTCCGAAAGTGGAGCGATTTATTTTGCAGCCATCAGGATTCACCACTGGCAGCAGGTCGTGTAGAAACTATACATTGCTTAGGAGGCAAGATCAACTACATCAGCTCTCATCTCATCTCCACCTTCTGGCTTTCTGGCCATAATCTTGCTCTCCTGTGACACAGCGTTCGCGTCCCACTCCGACTTCGAACACCCGAGTATTTGTGTACTCTTAGCACTTTGATCTGTAGTCGACCATGTCTCGTGGTGCACTTCCTGCCTTGCCGCTGATCTCCGCAGGGAATGAGGATGTAGTGTTCTCGCACAAGTCCCTCAAGGGGACTAGTCCAGATAGTGTGCGTTGTCCTCATCTTTTGTCTGATAGGATGGAATGACAGCACTAACTGGTCAACTACTGATTATACGTTGGTATACATTTTGGCCGGGGTGTGGGTGATGATGATCAGGTGGATAATGAACGTTTGGCATTCTTGGGAAGTGCGGTTTATCATGCCAGCGTGACCAAGTACCTGTGTGCAAAGTTTCCTACTCAAAGGACCGGGTATCTGACTGTGAGTGTTGCTTATCCAGTTCGCTGATATATTCGCGCCGTACCTCGCGGACACTTGATTCATCGTCATTGGAACCATTTTCCTCACTCAATTTTTTCTTTCTCTTATAGATGATCCGATCATCCCTAGTTTCGAAAGAATACCTTGCAGTGTTCTCACTTGCGTATCAGCTCCCACAACGTCTCCGTTTACAGCCCGGGCTCTCAGTTCATCATTTACCCCCCGCACAGATGGAAGTCTTTCAAGCTTACCTCGGCGCTATAACACTCGAACGCGGGACCGAAGTCTTGGACAGCTTTGTTAAATCTCTGCTCGATTCTATTCCTCCCACAGACGAAGTCTGGAATCCTAGGAATGGGGGGTCTAAACCGCCGTCCGTTGTCGCCCCCTCCCCATCGCCGTCTACAAGTGTCAGCGCAAATAGAGTGACTCCATCGTTAGCAAATGGAGATCAACAGCCAGGACCAGGTACCCTGAGTCAGATCCCCCCTCCATATGAACCACCCGAGCCCACTTCGCCTCGCCTACATGACGATATCGAGTCCCTGTACGGGTCGCCTGCCCGCGTACCTCAGGAATTGCCCACATCCCAGCTACAAAGTCAACAGGACCGACGAGAAGGTTGTTCCAGCCCTGGGATTGTTCATATTCCTGCTAAAAGACCGCTTTCAGCGCACGATTCGCCGAAGAGACCAGCACCATCGCTTCCTCGAGCCCCCTCTTCCACACCGCCGGATCCGGTGCGCCTGGCCGCATCTGCAACACAAACAACAGTGTCGGCTGCGACAGCCGCCCCATTGGTGGCGCCAGCCCCTGTATTGAAGGCGAGGGCTGATTTATTGGCATTGTTCTCTAACAAACCGTTCCAATCTCCTCCGTCTCTCACGAATAATGGGCACACAGCAGCCTCCGAACCCCCATCTTCGTTTTCATTCAATCAATCAGTGACCCCGGCATCGCCACTTGCAACAAACAAAGATTTGCACTTCCCTCTTTCCCAGCCATCTCTGTCCGAGCAGTCTTCCCCTACAAAAACCGAAGGAACCGAAGAGATAGAGAATCACTTCAAGGCTTGGCTTCAACAGCAGTTGGCATCCTCTTCTGCCTCGTCGCCATCATCGCCCCTCTCGGCATCATTTAGGACAGCAGGCCAGAGTACACCTACCGTTGCACCTTCTGCTGGTGCTAGCCCAGGCACTGCAACGCCAAGCCACTTTCCTAGCTTTTCTGGGGTTCAACCCTCAGCAGTACCTCAACCGCCCTCTTCACCGATAAAAGATTCATCCGGAAAACCATATATGAGTCAGCTACTCGAGGAAGCAACTCGGAGGAAAGTTGGGCCGTTGACGTGGGATTTCGAGAGTTCGGGCCCGTCTCATTTACCGAGGTGGGAAGCTAGAATTAAATGTGAGTATATATATTTCGTTGTGGAAGAATACTTACCCAACCTCCGAAATTTGGAATATAGGTATGGGTATCATTGTTGGTCGGGGATCGGCCCAAAATAAGACGATTGCGAGGACTATGGCGGCAAGGAATGCTCTTGAGAGTTTGGAGTGGCCGGTAAGTTCATTGTTTTTTTTTTCGGACCTCGTTGACTCATAACTAACTTCTTTGTGTAGATCATTGATTAAGGATGTGTTCATGACGCCTTTGATGTAGTTCCGTGTCTGTGTGGGGTTCGGGTTGGTAGGGTCATATTCACAAGCACGTTCCCCGGGTCAACGGGTGCGACTTCTCGAGGGTGCACGTACCCGATATAATTACTCGATGCGTATTCAAGTTTGTGATTGCTAGCGAGCTTATCATGAAATGTATACGAATATAAGCAATTCAGGCTGATTAATTGTATATACCGGGCGCTCAACGCCCTACGTCGATCGTTTGACAAACACTGCAATTAGCCCATTATCTGGTATTCAGTTATTCCGCATCAGATTACTTAAATAAAATTACATGTGAATACAGAGGGACTTAAACACGCCCCGAAAGCTGCTTTGATAAACCCTGGTTATACTGACGCATCCAGTTCGTGCATGGGCTTTATGTCCACATCATCCATGGAAGCGTCCTCTGCAGTATCGGCAACCTTACGGTCACCATCCGCCGTTGTTGCTTCCCCTACGAGTGGCTCTGCCAGTGATTGAGGGTCTTCTGAGGGTCCTTCAACTTCGAAGATTGAGGGGGTGGTATTCCCGATCACCTTCTTATCTGTTCCACCAAGAGTGATGGCGTTTTGACCTTCTCTCATCGCAGAGAAACTAGTGGTTAAGCTGTCTACTGTCGTCATTGCTATTTCCAGGACTGCTTTTACACGAGTCTTCAATGCATGGTTTGAACTTGTGACGGTCTGCAAGATTAGTATTTGAAGGGAAAGATTGGTTTACGAGGTCTGGGATGGTGTGCGGAGTAACTAACCAGATCTAATAACCCTATGCGCGCCTCCCACTTATCTATACGAACAACCATGGCCGGGTCCAGGATTAACTTGCCGTCGTCACCGGTACGTGTCTCAACAGTTTCGACATCGCCGAAATGAGCCTCAAGAAAATCTGCGATCTTTTGAGTACGCAGAGCGCGTCTTTCCACGATGTTGTCGTCGCCTGGAATATCAGCATGTGGATGCGGTTGGTCGTATGTAGCTTCATGGTGCGAATGATCGTGGTGTGACGAGACTGAAGAATGGATCATAAGCCCTTCAACGGATTGGGTCCAAAACGGCTGTTCACAAACCTTTCACGGATGCGGGACTCCTTTCTATCCCGACTATGACAGCCATGACCGAGTCCGCTATCATATCGTTACTTGCGCTGGAGTTCCATTCCAAAGTAATTTCGTGCTCTGCGGTATGCTTCACATCTACCGCGCCCATTACCTGAAGGGGTCAATTAACTCAACATTTACTTTCAGACATCAGTTTGTGGCTCACTCGAAACATCTGATACCCGTTTTCGTCCATACCTTCTTCAACCCCACCGTACATACCTTCTAAATGCCACCTGACTAGCTCAAGACCGACGCCTAAGTATAGATTCATCTTCTGGACGACTGCACTAGTGCTCAGACCTGTGAAGTCGCGCAAGTCTCGTGGATCAAGGAGTGTGTAGGAAAAATCTTTGGCAACGAGCAGCCCAGATAGGTGAGTGTTTCCTTTCGGAGGCCGTTGGGCTAATGCCCCTATTGCCTGAAGGATACAATGTCAGGTCCAGTCGTGCCGCATTGATTGAGCAAAAAATGGGAAATGCGCAACCTTTGCCACCCGTTCACCCCTAAAGTTGAGTTGAAGTTCCTCAAGGTTTCGAGGGGCATGTATCTTCACGTCCTCGTCACGTTCATTGAATCTTGCTTGTATGGCTGATCGGAGACGCGCCATTGCTGTTAGTTCACCATGCACGAGAACCTAAAAAAATCTTCAAGTGGAATTCCAGGACATAAACCAAAGGTCATGCGAACAATTTGTCTAGCCTTCACTAGCTCGATGAACTCTGCATTCTGCGAGAAGTCGACGTGTGCGCTGAACGAAACCTCCTCCACTGAGAGTCTCCGAGGGATCGTCCGACCATCCCGGGCGGTAATCTCGTCTGGTTCATTAACAATGTCCTGAAAGACACGCAGAGGGACATCAAATAAGGATTTAAAAGGCGCTGCTCAGAATGCTGGGCTATCACTTACTCGGGCCATCGTGCCTTCAACGGAATAACCGGTGATGATCACACCATTCCGAGGATCTGGAGCCCATAATTCCAGGAATTGTCGGCTGGTCCCAGACTGCATAAACCCAGGACTGGCAAGCACAACGCAAGGCGGACCTTCCGCGATCTTGCGCTCCCAGTTTTTAGATTGAGGCATGTGGGACACGAATCTAGATGGAAACTCATAAGACGTATGTTACCAAATAGACAGTCGCTCAGGCAATGACAGGTTTCACGCAACTTGAAGACAAAGGGGTTATCCCTGCGGTCGAAACGTTTCCGAATATTGGCATTCATTGTGTATATGTATGTCTGATACACGGCCATACACTTGCGCGCCAAACTGGACGCATAATAAACTGGAACGTTATGCAGCTCCGGATGTTTCGACCAATATTCGTCCAAAATTAAAAGAAGCTCCTGGGCTCGGCCAAGAGCGAACGTGGGAAGCAGGACATGACCGCCACGCTTAATGATGGTGTGGACCATTGAGGTGAATCGTAATTCTTTTTCGTCTCGGCCCTCTACGCTTTGAACACCATATGTGCTCTCAACAATCAGAACATCCGGCCTAACTGGAGGGATCTCGGCTTTGACAAGATGTCGGTCTTCCTCCCGACTATAATCCCCTGTGTAGAGGATCTTAAGACCATATACGTCGATGAGGAACATACAAGCACCAAGAACGTGTCCGGCATGATACGGGGTGAAAGACACGCCAGGAAAGGGGGCGATTTGTTGGTGGGCCGAAACTGGTATGATCGAGTTCATGGACATAGATAGTTCAAGCGGAGTGAACAACGCTTCCGCCCCATCACTGGATAGATTCTACACGTAAGGTGCATCAATGCAGCTCGATGAAATCCGCTTACCTCATCTTCACGAAATCCTGCATCATATACTTATAGACTGCCTTCGTTGGATGAGTCATGTAGATTTTTCCATGTCCGTCCCTAAAGTTTGTCTGTACAAATTATCAATATGGGAACAGAACTGCCATTAGTCTTATAAGCTTTCCTTCTCCGTGATGTAAGTTAGTGCAGCGGCATGGTCCAAGTGGAAGCTTGCTAGGATGTCAGTGGCTGACTGGCTCCTTCCAAAATAGGATCTCTCACTGAGTAACGAGGATAACATCCACTGTACTCCAGTCCAACTCATCAATAAATGGAAGAGAAGCCATCCCACTGAATGCGGGATGGATGCCACAGTCACACACTACGGTTTTTCCCCGATATCTTAACACACAGCATGAGCGGCCAACCTCTTGACCAGCGCCCAAGAGGGTGATCGAAAGGACAGGAGAATCGGACGCTGGCTCAGGCATTTAGTGCTTAAAGACAGATAGGTATGGTGAAAAATATTCGGACAAGTAACAATGGGGAGCGAGCAGTGGGATGCAGAGTTGGGTAGAAGATTGAATGGAACCGTGCGCAAGACGGAACTAGCCGAAAATTGCGTGCGGGCTCAATGGCACCCTCCAACGCGAGGAGGAGCTCTGGCACCCCGCGCCATACTTCGGCGACGGAAAGCCGCGATGACGAACCATTCGAGAGCGTTCTGGCTGGTAACACGGCGGAGGCCCATGAAATATTCATCGATCCGATGCTAGGTCAACCTCTCCTGTTTTTTGTCCACGAGGACGTCCCCCATCAAACCTCCGTTGTAGAAGCGATTAAGGTCAATCATCTCAACCACTCACGTTTCCCCTTACTCGCTCACTCAGATGATCGGGTAGAATCATGGAGGGACTGTGCTGCGCAGCTATAGCCAAGCTACTTACATTATTGGTTGGTCGTCAGTTCACTTTGCCGATCGAGTGTTGATGAATCTTGTTGCGTTCACGTAGTGAATCCTTCCACCCCGGGTGGGAAAAGTCTTTGGAGGCTATACCATGGGAAGAAAGTCAAAGTCCTACTAGAAGCTGAATGGGTGTCCGCATGCATTCGCGCTGGCGGACTGCAGTCGATGACTTATGCCAATAACTGGGGAGGCTTCCAAGTAACGAACATACCTAATGCGTGAGTATGATATGCTGTGGAGTGAGTGCTGTACGCAGCCTGACGTGATACTCCAGAGACAAGAGTTCGTCTGTGGAGAATTCAGAACCGCCGATCCTTGCGGCATCTGACAAAGATGTTCAGCAAACATCTTCTATCACTAACGGGATGCAACCGAAGCCGAAGGGCGCTCCTACGGTTCTCGCTGGAGAACTTCCACCTGCACCTCAAACTTCAGATACCTCACGATCAGCACAATTCTTGAATTCCCAAGATCACCCTCAGTCTTTTCACGGGCTTTCTCGTTGGCCGAGCCTCTCATTTGGGTCCTCTAGTAACCTTGCGACATCCTCCATGCTTGGACAATTTACCGTGGGCACGCAATGGGATAATTCCAATCCAAGCGATTTCGTGTCACCGAATTCTGCTGAGGAAGGTCCGACAACATCCTCCTTCCCCCTCCCGTCAACGTGGACGGAAGAACACAATCGGCCCTTCTCGCCCATAATGTATTATCACGAGGTTCGTACCACTGATATTTACATCGTGTTCACAGTATTGAGACGAGCCTTTGCGATAGTATGGCTATGGGGTCGCTAGCACGCATGATGCCAACTCCCCTCACACTTATGAACACACTGGCTCTTCCCGGACCTCACTCAGCGCCCTTCTGAACTCCAGTCCACCCACATCCACAACCCCTCAAAAGAAACAGTCGGAAACCCGTAAGAGGAAACGAACAGTACGTGTGTCCTCCTGCCATCTTTTGGTACAAAATTCAAGAATCCAACAGTCTGAGAATACGTTTGACGCATCTGTCTTTGTGCGGGCGCCAGATCCATCGAGACGATCCCCCACCCCACCAAGGACTATTGTATCGTCGTTGCATGGTGGAAACACATTCACATCAGAAGACGTCAGTTTTTTACACAGGTACATTGAATACTGTCGTGATAAAGGGTTAATGTTAAGGTGGGATGTTTTCGGTTTGCAATGACTTGCCTGTCATTGATTTCTCATTTGATTTGCAGCCTTCGTGAGATATGTGAAAGATTGGCCATCAAGGCACCCCACCATTCATTCTTTAGCTGGCGGCGCTTTTGCAACAAGAACAAAATTCGATTAGGATCGTATACCATGGAGACAACTCATGACTCGTCCAGCGTGAAGGAGCCCTCCAGTGCTCACGCAGAGCCGGTACCAGAGGCTAAAGTGGAAAAATCTGAATTTCCGGGAGGAAACCATAGAGATCCCCATCACCAGGCGACAACCTTGTCAGAGTCATCGGAAGACAACCTTTCGGTTTCAGACATTGAAGAGGGGACCGAGTGGGCATCACAGCCAGAGATATCAGCTGCAGATCCCGACCTGCCGGGGCCGACGCACACCTTCTCCAGCGAGGGTTACAGTGCCCCCTCCAACAATCTTTCTATCAGATTTTCGGGAGAGCTGCAGAATGCTGATGGAGAGACCTTTTTCCAGCTAGAGGATCCTCGGCCACCAACGTCGCTGTTCCGAAGCTCAACTGGAAAGGGTATCGCGTTTACCTCTGACGATGTTGAATACTTGCTGAGGTTTATGTCATACCGCAAGTGAGTTTGGCCCGAGTCTTCCATAGCTACTTTCTTGGCCAACCGGAGTCTTGTCGAACAGGCATCAGGATGGCGCAACGCTCAACATGGTTCAATTTTGGAAGGATGTTGCTGAAACGGTGCGTATTTGTAGTGAGGTAAAGTCAAATTGAGAGTGATGCGTTTTAGGCTCCTCATCATTCCAGGGCGTCATGGATGAAGGTACATTTGTCTCAATAAATTTGATTGTTGTGTTGCTTGATGTCTTTGCAGTATTGGCGCCGGCACAAACATGAACTCGAGGGCGACCGAGGTGATATCGTTGCCCCAATGCCTCCTTCGAAACGTTCGAGGTATACTCGCGAAGATGATATGCTGCTGGCCCACTTCTTTGCTGCTCAACATGCAGAAGACAGTCAAGATAATCTATTTCGGTTGTTCGCTTCAGAAGTGCGTCTACGATGTGTCTCGGATCATATCGGCTTTGGGTGCTTAATCGTTTCCAGCATCCGCATCACCCGTGGAAGGGTTGGCAAGAGCGATATCGCACACATCGAGCGGAAATATTGCATATGATTGATCTAATCCGTCAAGGGGAAGACCTCGATGACGAGCTTGATGCCTTATAAGGATTCATACAGCTTATTCTTACTGTTTCGTCGTTGTGACATGGCAAGATTAATTCTTCGACTTCACCAGAAATGTTCTCTCTCAAAAGCTTATAGATTGCATGTCGCTGTCTCTACCGTTTTACATAGGCAAATGACACCGGAGCAGTCTGCATAATTTCATAATCTTTGCCATACTCCAGTCCATTGTACTGGAACTCAATTTTTCGAGATCCGACTAGCAGAAAGTTTTCAACAATCTCTCAAGCATATCCCATCTTCAAGCATACCGCAGAAGGCGTAAAACCCCCACTACTGTACTTGATACTGAATGAATTCCAGCAGCGCTGGAGCGTAATTGCACACCAGGTATATATAACTTCGAGTTTGAATGGATATATATGTTTCGTGGATGTCCCTGCGGCGGATCTTCACGGAAGAGATTGTTTTAACCCTAGGCAGACAAACCACGCTGGGGTTGGGATGGCAGGGTCGAGTCTTCTGAATCGGCACCATACGGTGAGCTGTCCGTTTACGTTTACTCACATTCGGCTGAGATCCAAATTCGTGTTTTTGAGGCGGAATAGTATGTCGGATTGGGTCGCAGGAAGGAATATTGCTGCTTTCCGATTCTTCAAGTATTATTCCAATCTCTGGGTGTAAAATTCATCTGCCGTTCATCTGTTCGATCGATCCCTAATGTGTACAAACTCTGCGGATCTGCCAAGTGGTGACCCTCCTGTTAGAAGTTAGGAAGGAATATCGACGTCCCATATTTTGGGCGCACGGACCTGCAGCCGCCAGAGATTTTCCTTTATTCCTTTCTTGTCTTTCTTGTAGATCGACGTCGCTGTAGGCTTAAAAGCCACTGGACGCAACCTTTTCTTGCTTCCCTCAGTTCTACTCTCGTGAACTGAGGTGAGGTCTACCTTCTTCTTACGCGACTACTCGTTACTGAGAGATCGTGTACTTTACTTAGCGCTTATTGTCCGCTAGGTACATTAATTACATCTAGTTCTACTCTCGTGAACTGAGCGCTTATTGTCCGCTAGTTCTCTCACACCTCCCGCAATGGATGTGGGTAGAGGATGAGTTTGTCCCTAATGCTCGGCCCCCTTGAGCCCGACGGCAGACAACAGCTTTGGTTCGCTGTTCAGTTCGACAGCGGAGTTCGAAGAGGAAATATTGTTTGCCGGTTGAGATGTCACATGTTTGATCCCCCTCCCGAGTCCCTGCCCAGCCCCCAACAACATCGCCATCCTTGTCATCGCCTCAATTTCGTTTACAGTACTTCACTCCTGTTTTCGAATCGTTGACAGTACATGCATGCATTTGTTGGCTAAGAACGGACACATTCACCGACGGGTACCTGCCATAACAATTTCAATTTGCTTGGTGATCCGAGAGAGTCGCTCCCTTGATACGTAATCAATCGCTCGTAGTACAACCTAACGTTCGCTGCCACATGTTATAAACTCTCAGCGCTTTCTCCCACAACCGCCGATCATCAAGCACACCATTCATATTCCGTCCGTTCACTCTTCCTCTTTCCCTATATCACCAACATCCACCAACATCCACCAACATCCTCCTCAACCCTTATCCTTCCATCCCATCCCGCCAAGACCTAGCCACAATGCCCACCTCGAATAACCGTCCACACCTTCCTCTATCTAGCAAAGACTCCCAGGAACAGCAACAACAACGCCAGCAACACTTACAACAACTCGTCGCTCGATTGAGACCTTTTCTCATCACCTACACACTCGTTCACATCCCAAAAATATTGAAAATACTCACAGCTGCAGGATCCGGGAGAGGCAAAAGCGGTGTTTCTGCTTCGTAAGTCTTCAACAACGACAGACTACTCGTTTGTTCAACAATTTTTTTTTTAATACCCAACCGGATCTTATCTGCGTTCGTGGGTATGACGTCCCAAATGAACATCGGGCTTTTCTATCGATAACCACACGCCCAATACACAGCTCACGTCTCCGACTCATCCTTGAGACGTTCCTCAAACCATCCAGGTCAAATCTCAAACTAGCCTTATTCCCTTCCCTCTTCCCTCTTATCTACCAATCCATCTACCCTACCATCGCCTCTTCCCTGTCCTCTTCCTCTTCAACCGAAACCACGAACGGAGTCAACGGAGTCAACGACAAGGACAAGGACATCCGGAACTACAACCCTGAATTCATTTCAATCCTTCTCACATCCCCGGCGGTACTCCTCCTCCCACCAGGTTTACGCACATATCTCGCATTATACGCCCTTTCCTCTGCGCTTAGTACGTTCCTGAAATCTGCCAAACCTAAACCTAAATCCCAGGAACCGTTCGAGAACCAGGTTGAAGGTGAAAATGTCAAGGCCGCGGAGAAGGATTGGAGAGACTATTTACCCCCGGTGAGTTAAGTTCGGCTGGGTTGACCAACATTACCATAACGACAAACCGATCTTTCAATTCAATCCCCCTTTTTCTTGTTTTTTGGTTTTTGCGTCATATTTAACTGATTTAAACTCGCTCACATGTGTTTCCGTTCATTAATATTCCTTTGTGATCAATCTCTTAACTCCTCGGAACTCCCAAAACGCCCACGCCAAACACATTTGGTATATCCACAGGTGACGATCTTGAATGCATTCGGTAACTCATGGATGGCATGGAGTTGGTTCAACGAAAAGGGCGTCTTTCCCAAGAGTTATGAGAAACTCATCCTTGATGTGAGTGTCTTCTCACTCTCGTTCACTTTACACACTATTGATCAACTCCTCTGCATCCGACCCCCCACAGCACTCCCCGCATTACGTAGACCCCACAAGGGATGCCTTTGAAATTAGGGACTTCCTCGAAATGACTCATTACCCCCCTTTGCCACTGCCCTCTTCGTCTTCGTCGTCAACAGGCCACAATTGGTTGGCGTGTCAAACGCTACACCCCAACGAACCGTCGTGTATCAAGAACTATTTGGTCGCGTGGAGGGATTGTGCGCCCATCGCGGCGAAATGGATTGCTGGCTTTGGAGCGTTGACGACGGGTGTGAAGTTCAGGGGGAGGGTGATTAAAGAGTGAGTATTACCGTTAGTTCCTTGCCTAATTTTCTTTTTTTCATTGGCACCCCTGATATTGACTTGTTCTACTCTAACTTTGGGTGATGTAGACCAGTGGCTGCGCTTTTGACGTGGTTGGATTATCTGGTTCGTGGGACTGCGTATGTGACCGGGTCCGTACAGACACTTTGGGCGATGGTTTGTCTCCTACAACGGGTGTTACCTGGTAATGTCATACCCAAACATCGGTACGTTCCTTTCCCCCGAATTCGTTCCTTCACCTGACTGTTATTTCTCTCTCTCTCTTTCTCTGTACCCCTCTGCAACCTCAAAAACGTATGCACGCGTGTATATTGCATTCAACACACCCCAGGTGGTTCATCAATGGAGCGGTGGCTTCCTTATGGGTGTACGTCCTCCCAGCGAAACGTCAATCTGAAATATCCATCTACGTCGCACGATTGGGCGTGTTATCCGTTTGGAGAGCATGGATAAGACATTTCAAACGGTGGTATGTGCCCAAAGGGGAAGTGTTGTTGTTGGCGATGGGGTGGAGTGGGTTAGTTTGGTTGAGAGGGGAAGGGTGGAAGATTGAGGGGATGATGAGGAGGGGGATCGAGTTTGTTGAGAGCGGTGCGAGAGCGGACGGGAGAGGGGGTGCAGGTGCTGATGCCGGTGTGGAGCAGGAAGAGGAGAGCGGAGGTAAAAGGGGAAGGGGAAGTGAGAGGGTGGATGAAGAGAGGTGGGGGCCGAAGACGGTGACGAGTAGTGCTTCGATTGCTGATTCAGGCTTTGGGGAACTTTCTTCGGGCGATGAGTCCTTTGTGAGGATTCGGTCGAATGGGCATAATGCATAGAAAGGGGGGGAATGGTTTTTTTTCTTTTCTTTTCCCGTATTCCGTGATCGTAGTTGCGGTAGAGTGAGATGGGATGGAGAGGAAGTGACCTCTTGCTATAGAGTGGTTGATGGATCTTAGACATGCCATACATGAAAAGAATTGCTCATTATTAGAGTTGTCGCTAATTTCGGTACATTAAAATCACGACGATGGAGGAGTACGTTGTCTCTGGAAGAGAATGATGAAAAGACGTCTGCGTAGTTATTAATCATTGTACATCGGGTGTCCAGTTGATCAGTCCATTTGGCAAGATTCACAGGTCCGACTAAGCTAACGTACGATCAGCAAAAGTCCCGTTGATCATGTAATCGGCACCGATATCAACTAGTACTGCCAGTCACCGGATCGGTTTGAACCTCACCTTCCTTATTTTTAATTCCGGACATTTGCTTTCTTCGTCATCCTTGATTTTTTTACAGCAGGTCTCATATTAGTAAAATCCGCACCATTGAGGGGGGGTGAACCACTGTATCAAAATATGCTTTACTTAACAGACATTACAATAACTCTCCAAAGGTAGACACATCCAGTGAGATTGCAGAGAATCCTCCCCAATGCAATCCAGAGGTCGCATGTGTGCAATGAGAGACTCCTTGGGACGATGCCTGAGGCATGACAATGTCAAGGAAGGTCCACCTCGGGCTGACATCAGGTAGCGGTTATACAAGTCCTTTTCCAGCTGCTTGTCTTGAACCTGTGCCTTCAGCTTCTTCAAACCTTTTTCATTTTTTGGGTGTGTCGAGATGAGTCATCTAAGGCACACTGGCACCCTGCTTTAAGCATTTCATATTGCGGGGGCCGGGAATACTGGGGGAACTCTGTACTTGATCATCGTGCCCCCTGATGCTTGGAATCAGTACGAAGCTCCATCAGCAGGGCAAGATAGGGAAGGGGGGCTTTGTGATCACGGATGAATCCGGGAGGTCTCAGGTTGTTCGGTATTCATATCTCCTTTTTTGGACTTGACCTGAATGACAAGTCCTGACAGCTTGTCAGGAATCAAAAATGTCTTCAGGCTGGACAGAGCCAAAATAAATGGAGCATAAGAAATTGATGGATGATTGATTGGAACAGAATTGCAATATGGTACCTCGCCTCCGTGAGCATTCGTGATTTTCCGGTCCCAGAGCTTTGAACTATTGAGATAGATTTGGCACAACGTGGTGTGTTGGGATTGCCCGCCTCATCGATCTCCCCGAGATGCCGAATGAATGCGTTTGCAGCATCTCCAATGAAACGTGTACGGTATGCCTCAGCAAGCGCTGACAACTAATCAGGACTCTGGAAAAGGCTAAGATTCCAAGGATTACTTTCTGCAACATGAAGCCTGTAAACGAAGAGACGTAAGGGCAGATGTTAATTGTATATGCGTACTTACAAATTATCATTTATATAATTGTATGCCGGAGATTCAGTGAATCGCAGCTTCAATGCCGTTGTACTATCGATTGAGCAGTGACCCCAACGCTGGTTGGTAGTAGTACATACCATAATTGATCAAGGGGGTGCGCAGAGGTTCTGCACCGCGTCCTACAAAACACAATTCGGACGGCTCCGCCACAAAACATCAAACTTGCAACATAACACCGGAACACTCCCTTGAACGTAAAAACTTCAGCCGCCTCGCACAACTGCGCACGGGCCATGCCTTAAGCCATTACTGAAAATGATGCCCCCTAATCGAGGACCCTAGCTGCGGATGCAGAGGACCCACAGAAACACGCGACCACATCCTGACGGACTGCCTGTTATACACCACGCACCGAGACCTTCTTCGAGACACAGACGGAGACCTAAACCTACTTATCTGACCTTTTCAGGAAGGAAGACGGTAGTTTAAGAGTATCGAGTTTCCTTAACACGGGCGGAGCATACGAGAAGAAAACTCCAACCGAAGACCCCAGCCTGTCGTTTGGCTCCTTGTTGAACAGCAACTCTTTTTCAGGCTTCTCTCTCCCTTTGACTATGCTCAGTTTGCTCACCAAGATTGTTTCTGTCTCCTTATTCCTCTCTTCAGCGCTAACTTTAATTATTTCTCGATCTTCCGCCATGCGGGTCATCAATGCATTGTTGTGTGGTCAATTGATGAGAGAATTTGTAGAATTCAACTGTTTGAAATGCCGAAGAAGATGATCGCACAGACAAAGAGAAAGGATAAAGCTAGGTTACAACAAACAGAAGCAACGCTGAGCTGTAGATATCCGGGATCCTCAGCAAAATCGAAACAGTTGCACTGCGCCGAGAGGTAGCAAAGGGCCGTGACGAATCAACCAACTGTAGAACAGAAATGCTAGAACCAGACAATAACAAACAAACAAACAAAAAACCGAGAAAAGTCACCGATGCGTGCGGTGAACGTGTGAAGATGGCAAGTAAGGGAAGACCTACAAGAACTGCCTGATAAAATCTAGGGTCTGCGAGAGCGGCATGACTGAACGAGCGCGGCGTTACAGCATGCGGTGAGGCCGACAGCGGGTACGGCACAACGCGTGCATCGGACACAAAGGAGAGGAAGTAGGAGCATTAGTGCCGGAGTACCGCGAGCTCCATTGAATCACAAATTAATGAAATACTGGCCCAGGGAAACATTCTACCAAGAGGGGGAGCAATCCCTGAGAAAGTTATGCTACATACACTAAGCGGCACCGTAGAAAATGAAAACGATCCCCCACGAAACTAGCTGAGAATCGCAGAGATGAGCTGGTGAATATACACCACTGCTTTCAGATTGCCATGATCACAACCAGACCCCATTTAAGGCAACTATATAGGGGCTGGCCCACCCCTGTCCAAATGGCTAGTCATGACCCCGTCCAGAAATTTAATCCCCACCATACGCCAACCACCACCCCTGGTAGTTGTTGGTGGTGCGTTGTAGCCCCATTCCAGCTCACACTTTCGATATCCTCGATTTTGTAGCCAACATCATCACATATGCGGGTGCAAAATGGCGGCACATTACTTTAGAGGAGAAGATGATGGCGCGTCTGAGCCCACTGAGGAGGCGCAAATAATGCGGATGGAAAGAGCTCTGGGCGATAGGACGTGCTGACCAAAGTGGGCTAGGACGGCCTTTCGGGGTAAGCAGCAAAGCCTTACTAAAGAATGGAGTCGACAATTACGGAAGATGGAAAGCTTCGGGTGAACAGATAAGGCAAGCCTTCAGGCGCGAAGGCCGAAGAGAAGTCGATACAGCTAATTCCGAACTCCGCGGTCTCCGACAGAAGAGACCGTCGTGCCTAGACATGAACGAACTCACCACGACAACCTCTAAACCCAACAACCAACCATGTCGCGATTCTCTATGGATTGGCTCAAGAAGAGAACGGCGAAAACCCTCGTCCGAGACGGGCTGATAGGCAGAAACAGCCTTCTTCGCTCAGGGGAGGATTACGGATCAATGAACAAGGCCGAAGTGTTGTTGAAGGGTTGATCTAGACCTCAAACTAGCGAGGAACTGCGTGATACGGACCTGGGATTTTGGTGCGTTATGTTTAGTAGGCTGACGTGGCTTTCACTCTGCCATGGGGAATCGTGAACAGGAGCTGCCGGGAATGTGACGGTTTACATAGTGTAAGAACGGGTTGTAGTATTCAGTTGTTGTGCAAGGAGAATTCGGGGCTGACGTAAAGCAGGTGACGCGAAAGAATATTGCGCGTGACGAAGTGCCACAGGATGCGAGGTCGCCATTCCTCCAGCCATGTCAGTATATCCGTGCTAGCCCAGCCAGCCTAGAGGACAGGGACTGATGCGCTCGACAGAAACGTCGTTTCTCGACGTCTGAGCTGGACGCGCGGCGTCGCTCTCCTCAACGCAAGTCTTCGCTCTCATCCAATCCACTTGTGTTCCCAGCTTCGCCTCATGAGGAGGATGGGATTGTTTTCCCTGCGCCAAGCAGTTCATTATTTATGGATGAAGAGACTCACGTCATTGAATACGCGCATCCGGAAGATAGACTGAACCGGACGATTCTCCAGAGACGACGCGGTACAGGTGATGACACTACCTTTCGTTGGGCTGAGATAAAACCAGGGAATCCTACTGAGATTAGGAGGGTATATGCATCTTTGCCTTCATCCCCTGCTGTGAATGAGACTTTCTCGCGATCCTCGACTCCTACCGTAAAGGATGAAGAGCATATATCTGTTCCGAAAGCGCCGCACGCACCATTTTCGCTGTGGGATTATCTCCGTGAAGAGCTACTTGCTACAGACTTTGATTCTCATCAGGAGCTCAAATGGGAGCGGGTGAGCAACTTTCTGAATGTTCCCCTTGCGATCGAGAAGGTACGACTTCATGGCAGCTTTGCACACGGCCTCGGGTAATCGCTTTCACCAGATCATATTTTTCGGGAGTGTCCTCTGCTTAGATACATGGCTATATACTTTCACCATTCTTCCTATACGCTTTTCAATTGCTGTTCTTGCTGCCTTGAAGGGAATCCTGTTGAGGTCAAAGTTAGTCATTCGGCAATCGAATGAGAGGATCGCTCACAATTGTCTAGATCATCCCTTCCCCCTTCTCAGAAAGCGGACATCATCCGTTTCCTCCTTCTCGTCGTTTCCGCCTCAATTTTGTTGCCTTCCATTGACCCTAGCAAAATATACCACTCAATTCGTGGACAAGACACGATTAAACTTTACGTCATCTTCAATGCATTAGAGGTACGCGAACTCGGGGTTCTTAACCGACATGATTTTTGGTGATGGGAATATTGCTAGATTGCGGACCGGCTCCTCATCTCTATTGGACAAGACTTGCTCGACTGCCTGTTCTCAAGATCCACTTTGCTCCTTATGTCACATCACATCAGACCGACACAGAATACCCTTCGACCTCTACTTTTCTTTGTCCTTTCGACATTTTACATTTGTAAGTTACTCAGCCAATCGAGCCAGGCTAATTATTTATGGCTTCCAAGTATCCCATTCAATGGTTTTAGTATACGAGCTTACTGCGCTTGCTGTTGCCATCAATGCATATGATAATGCGCTTCTGATGCTCCTTCTATCCAATCAGTTCGTGGAAATCAAGGGATCAGTGTTCAAAAAGTTCGAAAAGGATAACTTGTTCCAGATAACGTGTGCTGGTGAGTGGACAATGCGCCCCAAAATGAACTTTCCTGCCTAAAAAGACGTGGCATACAGATATCGTGGAACGATTCCAATTGTCCCTCATGCTGTTCGCCATCGCATTACGAAACATGATTGAATTAAGTTCTTCGGAAGGCACTCTCAACTATGCAGCACTACCGAAAGCATTTCAATTTTTCAACACAAAAAGCCTCACGTCCACAATTTTCTCTGTACGGTGTCCCCGAATTAGGCTTGCACTGGTGGCGTAATTGACTCCAGCACATGTGTCGTAGCCTGTCTTTACGGTTCTAGCCTCCGAACTCGCCGTAGACTGGCTCAAGCACGCTTTCATTACAAAGTTCAATCATATTCGACCTTTAGTCTATGAACGATACGTCGACATTCTTTGTCGCGATTTATCAGTATCTCAGGGGTGTTGGATCGGGCGCAGGGGATCTGCGCGCAAAGTGAGCACTCGTTGATTAATGGTCCAAACGTGCTTATTCGGATTCTCGATGCGACCACTCCAGCATTCATATGTAGACCAGTCACCAGTAGTTGCGAGAAGGCTAGGCTTTGCCTCGTTACCACTGGCCATACTCGCGATTCTCATCGGGTATCAATCGCTTGGGATGATTATCGCCAACCATGCGTCGCACTCCATAGGTTCCCTCCTGCTTGTTCAGCCCAGAATGGAAGCACAAAGTACTGTCAGGGGATGGTGGCAGTCTTCCTTACTATGGCTGTCGAGATGTGGACCATGGGTTGCGCTGGGGATTATCTCGTGGATCTGGTGCGTATCGTTCTCCAGTATATTATTGCCGGAGACGGATCAACGAATCTTTCATTGACCACACAACACTCGACCCTCTTTTTCCTCGCCTCATTAATGATATCTTTTAGCCTAGTCACTGTTAAATTGATCATTGGGATTAACCTGTTGATCTACGCAAGCAAGCGAGCGCAAGGGATGGAGCGACGGGCGGAGGAAGATGAACAGGTCAACGCGTACGGTCGGCCTCCGATCGGAGAGGGTAAACAGGAGCAGGTGAGCGTCGAATTTCCCCTATCAATGTGCGAGCGGTGTGAATCGCACCATTCGGATCAACATGAAACGTCTATGCTTGCTGATGCTTAATTGATTGTTCTCTTTTCTCTGTCGGTGTTTGCCGTGATGATCAATCACCCTGCAATCGCTCGCCGATCCCTCGTTGGAACCTGAAGGCTTACAATCGAGAGCTTAAATCGATGCTCACTTCAGCTAGGGACGACGCTCCGTTTGTCCCGGAGATAGGTGAGGCGGTCCGAGGTGGTAAGGACGGCCAGGGTTCAGGGGAACGAGAATCAGGTGGTGGGAAACGGAAAACGATACGCCTGGAGGACCTCACACGATTCACGATGGTGAAGCGGATATGGTAGGAGATGGTGGGAGGGCCAAATTTGAGTGCTTCTGTCTCTGCGCTCGGGAGGGGGACCGCGGACATGAGCCCAAAAGCGGACGATAAGCGTGTTCCCAGAAGCTCAAAAGAGGCAAGGCCGAGATTCATTGTTTACGTTTTGGGATAGCACGTGATGGGAACAAAACGTGTTGTATCTCCGCCTGAATTGTAACTCATTATAGCGAGTCATCAAAAAGACTGTGTAGTTTTTCTTTTTCTCTTCATCTTTCGTGGTCCGCCGCACTCTTTAACGGCAACGGCGCCAAAGGTTCGTGCGTTGCTTACCAAGGCCCACGATTATTAAAAAAGCATTCAAAATATCGTAATACGTCTGCTCACGAGGTAAGTTGCACGAGATTTCTGGCATATTCTTCCGGTCGTATAAGAATTGTCCTGGCCCTGGCACGCCAGCGTGAACCCTAACGCCCTGCGACGACAACGACAACATTGCCTCTCTTCATATATAATTCCATGATTCTAACTCTCATCTCCTTTTTTTTTCTTCCCCCCCGCTGTCTACGACTTCGATCCCATCCAGCTTAACGATCACGAAAAAGGAACTTCATAAAAAATTACCGATCCACTTCATTTCCTCTATTGTGGACGGTAAGGCGCACGAGAAGGCTCACACCTCCGTTTTCATCAGGGCCCAGGCAAAGACTGATTGCAAGAGTAGCCTTCGCAGTACATGAATACCACCTATTCCTCTCGACAACCCTCACCTACCCACTCTTCCTTCCCCCGTTCACATACTAAACCCCCAAACACCAGTTACTCCTACACAAAATCGTCATCTTTCAAACCTAACGGCCCTCCTGGTGGATCCCCATATCCGCCCCCTCCAGGAGGCTGGCGAGCACAGGAGGAAGCGAGTGCAAAACAGATGCTTGCCGAGATCGCGAAAGAAGAAAACTTTTTGAAAAACGAGGAGCTTCGTCTTGCGGATCGCCCAGAACGACTCGAAAAGCTTCGACGCGCACACGAGGAGTGGATTGTTTGGCGTGTGCGCAAGGAGCTTGAGAAAATTCGTGCTTGGCGTGATCATGAGCGGCTTTGGGCGGAAGCTGAAGCAGCTCGAGAGCAAGCCGAACGCGAGCGATTAGAAACCGAGGAGCGATTGCGTGCTGCCGAGCGTGATCGAGAGCAACGTGAGCGTCAATTACGGGAAGAGCGTGAACGAGTGGCCAGAGAGAAAGGTCAGGGGTCGTACTCCTGGCAATCGTACACAAAACCACCTCCCAAGACCGGTCCGCCCCCTCCAGCAGCCGAACCCCCTCCACATAATCCTCTGCCTCGATCCGCACGGACAAACGCAACTGCATGGGATAACGAGGCCAGAGTTTCCCGAGAGGGCTGGACATCATACCAGGAACGGTGGAATTCCCTTTCATCCACTGCCTCGACATCTGGGCGTGCTCTTCGCTTCATCGACATACCATGGCCTGTCTTTCCTCCAAGTCCCTTATCTCCCAGCGATATCGATCAGACACGTGTTGGAGCATTCCTATTGTCTCGATTCCATTCTGGGGACAAGACACCCAAAGAACGGCTACGTAATGCCCTTATGGTATGGCATCCTGACAAATTCCAGGCCAGATGGCTCAAATTCGTGAGCCCAAAAGAACAGGCTGTGGTTACTGAAGGGGTGAACGCCGTCGCTCGTGCCATTAACGACTTGTTAGCCGCCAAGCGGTAACTTGTCCCGAAGGATCTGCAACTAACTTATTCCTGGCTTTCAACTTCTGACTTATCCGCTGTCCAGAACAGTTCCTTTTCTTATGTTTCTCTATTTTCTTTCGATTGCTATCACAATCTGCTATCGTGTTCCGTCCCTCACAAGTAGTCCTAGCCTCATTTAGCTGACAAATTCGTTGTCCAGTGTCCCATATTTCTTGTTTTTAGTTTCATTTCTCACACCTCCTGGCGATGCCCTTTTACCCCGCGTATAATGCCTTTTTCCCCGTGGTTGTGCCCGTATATCCCTAATTGCGCATCCTACTGGCTCCCCTCTTCCACCTCTTTACTTGCTCCTTTCGTATGATCCATGGAACGGTTATACGTGCGGATTCATACGATCTTAATGCAATGGATGATTCGTTCTATCTCGGGCTAAGTCCAGGCTTCTGCGCACACCTGGGTCGCCGAATTACATATAGAGTCTTTGTTGCGCTTTGTTGCTTCCGGGGAGCTAGAAGCGTGTGAAGAAATGACGCGCTTCTAAAAAATGCTCCATAAATACTATAATCATCACCGCGATTTAGGTGGGGACCTGCTCTCCGTGACCCCTCCTCATTTTCACCAATGTCATCTGCCCAAAAGCTTAAGCAGAAGCTCTTTGGACAAGGTAACCAGTCGCAGCAGGACTTGACAAACCTCACCATCAACATTCCCGCTGCGAGGAGCAGTACCTCACAGCCCATACTCCCAAAATCGAAATCACATTATGAAGCTGGTGGCAGTCCACGCACCCGATCGGCAGATGGCTCGCGCTCCGCAGGGGCCCGTGAGCCGACGTACCGCTCTCAAATCCTAAGGAAACTAGGCACACAGTACACATCTGTGGAGGAATACCGTCTTGATCAGGATAGAGATCGTGAAAGACACTGGAAACGTTGGGGCCCTTATCTAAGCGAAAGGCAATGGGCAACTGTTCGAGAAGACTACTCTGCTAACGGTGATGCGTGGTCTCATTTCCCGCATGATCATGCCCGTTCGCGCGCTTATCGATGGGGGGAAGATGGAATCGGAGGGATCTGTGATAATCATGGACGACTTTGCTGGTCACTTGCTTTGTGGAATGAAGAGGATGATATTCTTAAGGAACGACTGTTTGGTGTCACTGGGCACCAGGGCAATCATGGTGAAGATGTGAAGGAGCTGTATTGGTACCTTGATTCTACGGTATGTGTGGACCCTCCCACTGTTCAAGCCGTTAAACGTTCTAAATCGTTGCTTCTGGTCGCACTATTATCCAGCCTACACACTCTTTCATGAAGTTTCTATACAAGTATCCACAGTGCAAATTCCCATACGATCGCCTCGTGCAGGAAAGCGTGGCTCGGAGCCGTGAGGTAAATGAATTCGAATCAATGGATACTGGGATTTTCGATGACGATCGCTACTGGGATGTATTCATCGAAGTAAGTTGTTTCACAGCCTGCTTTTTTCTGATGAACCACCAAGAGGAGCCGTGATGGGTTCTCGTCATCAGGATTACTAATCGGGGCCGCCCCATTCACCCATTGCAGTATGCGAAGGACGCGGACGACCCTCAATCTATCTCGATTCGTGTCACCGCGTATAATCGCGGCCCAGATCCTGCGAACTTGCATATCATTCCTCAACTCTGGTTCGCAAATACATGGTCATGGTCGTTACCAACTCCGCCGCGTCCCGTCATACGCGAGGCATCCCCGGGGGTCATCACGGCTAGACATTCCGAACTCAGCCGCATGAATATGTATTGCTCACCTTCTCCACCCCCCGTCGACGCACAAGGTCACTGGGACTCGGAAGAAAACGGGAGCGATGATGACGACGATAGCATCATTCCCGAACTGATTTTCACCGAGAACGACACCAATTTCCAAAGACTATATGGCGGTCAAAACAAGGCGCCTTTCGTAAAGGACGCGTTCCATGACCACATTATTTCAGGACACCGGCCTGTAGTCCCGTCCAAAGCTCCCGACTTGGTCCAACAAAGCTTCCGCACCAGCGCTAGCAGTGAGAGTTCCGACGAATCTGATTCAGGGACACCTCACCCAGAACCACAGTTTGTAAACCCTGACAAGACTGGCACCAAAGCAGCCGCGCACTACAGTTTTAGAGACGTGCCTGGTCGTGGGGGATGCGTTGTAGTCCGGCTGAAGTTGACACCCAATTCACCTTCAAAGGATCCTGCGATTAACGATGAGGAGCTGTTTGATCTTTGCATAGAGGAGCGACGGACAGAAGCTGATGAATTCTACAATCAGGTTGCCGGACCTGGGATTGGGAGCCCTGATTTGAGGAGTATTATGAGGCAGGCCCTAGCCGGAATGTTATGGTATGCGCCCATACCTCAGCGTCCTTCGCGGGAGGATAACACGATCTACAGGTCAAAGCAGTATTATCAGTTCATCCAGAATGAATGGTTGCAGGGGGATCGCGCTCAGCCACCACCCCCGCCAGAGCGAAAATGGGTTCGCAACAAGGTTTGATTTCCAGTGCTTTGCAGCTCTCGCCGTGCCCTATTTAGAAATACCCATAGGAATGGCGGCACCTTCATATTGCAGATGTCCTCTCCATGCCGGACAAGTGGGAATATCCCTTTTTCGCCGCGTGGGACACTGCGTTCCATTGCATTCCCCTTGCGCTCGTCGATCCGGACTTCGCGAAAAAGCAGCTTGACCTATTCACCCGGGAGTGGTATATGAAACCAGATGGCCAGATACCGGCGTATGAGTGGAATTTCTCGGACGTCAATCCACCGGTGCATGCCTGGTGGGCTCGACTGTTTCCCCAGTGCGTAGGCATTAATGATTTTTAGGGCGACATTCCGCGTGTTCAAAATCGAACGCAAGCTATATGGAAGGGAAGACCTCCAATTCCTTGAACGAGTCTTCCAGAAGTTGTTACTTAACTTCACATGGGTAACGTCTTGCATGGTGCTTGTCTAAATTTCCAGCCTAACCAGTCCTCGACTGTCAGTGGGTTAACCGAAAAGATAAGGAAGGGAAGAACGTCTTTGAAGGCGGTTTCCTTGGACTGGATAATATTGGCGCGTTCAATCGTTCAGAGGCACTCCCTAATGGTGGCACACTTCGGCAAGCGGATGGAACAGCTTGGATGGCCTTTTTCTGTTTGAACATGTGAGTAAATTGCTACGCTGAATGGGCTTTCACTTTACATGCTTGGACCGGCGATCTCAGGTTGAACATGGCGCTCGAGCTAGCGAAACACAATCCAGTCTACGAGGACATTGCATCGAAATTTTTTGAGGTACAAATAGCGCTATTTCTTTCATCGTGCCAAATCAACTGGGCTTACCTATAATATCAGCATTTCATCTTCATCGCGGATGCTATGACGTATAGTTTGGAAGACGGAGAGGAGACTGCGCTCTGGAACGAGGAGGAGGGTCTCTATTTTGATGCTATCCAATGGGGCGACGGTTCACCCCAACAAATTCCTGTCAGATCACTCGTGGGTCTGATACCACTATATGCGACACTTACCCTTGAGCCTTCTGTTATTGAGAAGCTACCCAGCTTCAAGAAGCGCATGGAATGGTTCATCGAGAATCGTCCTGAGATTTCTCAACGGAATATGGCCAATATGAAGGGTGAGTTCGTTGATGCTGGGAAGGTAATCCTACCTTTTGGACAATGTTTCTAGCTCGCGGCAGAGGCGAAAGACGACTACTTGCTTTGGCAAGTAAGGAACGTTTGGAGCGAATTCTTCAAAAGATGCTGGATGAAAATGAATTCCTCAGTGATTATGGCATCAGATCGTAAGTGTTAAATACATTGGTATTCATCTGCCACCAACTAATGAAGATTGGTTCCAGCCTTTCTTTGTATCACGAGGAACGGCCTTTTGAAATGTGGGTCAACAGTTCCAAGTTTAGCGTGGAGTACTGGCCTGGCGATTCGAAGTCGGGCATGTTCGGTGGAAATTCAAATTGGCGAGGACCTATTTGGCTTGCTGTGAACTTCTTGTTGATAGAATCGCTGCAACGGTTCCATCAATACTACGGACCAGATTTCCAAGTGCGCGAAGCCTGACACTCGTTGATTTTTTCTGACGTCAGCTTCCGGAATGCCTTGCCATCAGATCGAGTGCCCAACTGGCTCGGGCGACTTCATGGATTTGGGCAAAGTAGCGGAGGAAATTCAGCACCGAATTATTCATATATTCAGTCGAGACATGGAAGGTCGGCGGGCGACAAATGGAGGAAATCCCAAGATGGATCGTGACCCTCACTTCCGAGATTATGTCCTTTTCCATGAGGTAGAGCCGTATCGTGGAAAATAGGAGGCGTGGGCTAATCACGGCTTTGTTCCTTTGACAGTTCTTCCATGGTAACGATGGGCGTGGTCTTGGGGCGTCTCACCAAACCGGATGGTGCGTGATCAGTGATGTCTGGACAGCCAAATCCGACTTATCTTTTCAGGACTGGGCTGGTCGCGTACCATATCGTTCAGTCCGGCGTCACATGCCGGCTCCCCCGTACACCCCGAAGTAAGAGTTCCGACCTTCTACCGTTCCTTACGTGCGTCGTTGACATCATCGATGATGTTTCAGCTCCAAAAAGCGTATCCCTGCATTACTTTGATGTGCGTCACCGATCTGGACTCCCCTTTGTTCGCGTACTGAACTATCATCGTCGATAGGAACACATTGATACGATCTCGGAGGCAGGTGATCAATCGGCCTTTGACTTGCAATCCGCACGGAGTGTTGTCAGTGCTATCGGAGATCTGTCGCCTGATGCATTGTAGATTTTTTTGAGAAATCTGTAACGGATCTCTTCTTTTCATTCTTCAGTTTGAGTTACAGTACCCCTTAGATATTACGATCATTGTATTGTTACGTAAGCTCTCAATACTAAGGCTGTTTCAGTGCCTGTCGCCATCCTTGCGTCCAGATCTTCCAGATCTGGGTCGACAAACAACCCACGGTCTCCGGGTGTTGCCGGAGAGTCAATCAATTCAAATTCAACTCACAGTAATCCGGCACTGCCACCACCAATCTGGTTCACACAGACCGTCTCTGGTTCCAAGCACCGTGCTAAGCTGTACACATGAAATCGTCATCCCAGATTAGCCTAACTCCTGTCACAACGTTGCTCCGATTGCACCTATGCCTTTACAATATGTCTAGGCCGCCTTGCGGATCCATCCGTGCGTCTGATCAGGAACTGTAATCTATGGCAGCTGAACAACGACTGAGTCGTCATAAAATTCCCGTTCAGTGGACCTGTGTCTTGTTGTAGGGTGAAGTACCCAGACGTTGTTAGTTCTGCAATGGCACCTAGTGTCTGGCACATGGATGCAAGTCTTACCCATGCCTGGCTCAATATGAGATATGGCTAGCTATCTAAGTTTCAGTCTCAATCCCGTTGTCACTGCGCTGGATCAAATGCTTCAATTTGACTCTGAATTGAAACTTACCTCACATGTACGAAGATGAACCTGACTGTTTCATGCGCTTTGAAGCCATGCTCAAAAGCAGGCTGGTTCTCGTCAGAAGCATTCGTGACCTCTCCCCGCTTGCCTAATTCTAGAATGTCGTCCATTAAGTCTGTCCCAGTCACCAACTCTCTCTTCAACCGTAACTCTTCAGGTCGACGAAACTCCATCAGCTCGAAGCAGTGCCTCACTGTCGAGATCCCACCTCGGCGTGTGTCCGCCTTCTCTACTTCATCCTCGGATACCTCTCCTTCGTCCCTAACTAGTTCGGAGGATACAGAGTCTAGATTCTCTGCCTTAGTTCGAATCCTGTCCTCTCCACCGAACATACTCGACTCGATAATGACAGGGATGGATCTGTGAATTGGCGTCGCTGGGGACCCTACGCCAGTGAGCGCCAGTGGTCCACCGTAAGAGAAGACTACAGTGCCAATGGCGATGCTTGGTCATACTTCCCTCATGACCATGCTCGCTCAAGAGCCTATCGTTGGGGAGAAGATGGCCTTGCGGGTTTCTCCGACGATAAAGGCATACTTTGTTGGAGTCTTGGGCTTTGGAACGGCAAAGATGGGATCCTCAAAGAGAGACTCTTCGGAGTTACCGGCCATGAGGGTAACCACGGTGAAGATGTGAAAGAACTCTACTATTACCTTGATTCTACTGTGAGTCCCTTGTCTCCTAAACCAACACCAGCTCAATGTTTTGTTCTGTTGAAACTAGCCCACTCACTCTTACATGAAATTTTTGTACAAATATCCCCAACGTAAGTTCCCTTACGAGGAGCTGGTTGCAAAAAACACGTCCCGCACTAGGGATGACGAAGAGTTTGAGCTTATGGACACAGGTATTCTGGATGAAGACCGTTACTGGGATGTTTTCGTTGAGGTAAGTATTCCCTTTCTACTTCGTTGAAAGGAGTTTGCCAATAAACTCCCTTGTAAGTACGCCAAAGACGCCGATGACCCCGAGGATATTTTTATTAGGATTATCGCTTACAATCGCGGTCCCGAGAGCGCCGATTTGCACATCCTCCCCCAACTCACCTTCTCCAATTCATGGTCTTGGTCCAATCCTGAAAGCTCCCGACCTTCACTTTCAGCATTGTCATCCAACACAATCTTGGGGGATCATCCGACCCTTGGTCGTCGATACTTCCACTGCATCTCCTCTCCCCCACCCGCCGACGTCGGCGCGGACGAAGAAATCACCCCCGACTTGATCTTCACGGAGAACGACACAAATTTCGTGCGTCTCTACGACGGGGAAAACGCTTCCTCATATGTCAAGGATGGTTTTCATGACCACATCATCCCTTCCCATCGTATGGAGGATGACACATCCTCCTATGTGAATCCGGATAAGAAGGGAACTAAATCAGGCGCTCACTATGTTTTCAAGGATGTTCCACCAAATGGTGGCTGCGCTGTGGTGCGTCTCAAATTAACTCGGAAGTCAATAGAGGAGGACACTACTGCTAAGGATGAGGAGCTATTTGACGGTGTCATTGAGGCGCGGAAGGCTGAGGCAGACGATTTCTACGACGTGATCGCTGGATCTGTGGCATCTCATGACTTGCGCAATATCACTCGCCAGGCGCTGGCCGGAATGCTTTGGTGTGTGCCTATATGTTCCTCGCTCGGTCTGGCGACTAACTTCTCCCGCAGGTCCAAGCAATTTTACCAATTTAAGTATTCGGAATGGATCAAAGGCGACCCATCTCAGCCTCCCCCTCCTCCTGAGAGGAAATTCGTCAGGAACCAAGTATGTAATCATTATATGGTTCTTTTTAACTACATCAGTAATCTCCTTCACAAGGCGTGGCGTCACATCCATGTCGCAGATGTTTTGTCTATGCCCGACAAATGGGAATACCCATTCTTCGCCGTATGGGACACCGCTTTCCATTGCATCTCTCTTGCGGTGGTGGATCCCGAATTTGCGAAGAACCAACTTCTACTCTTTACGAGGGATTGGTATATGAAAGCAGATGGTGAAATTCCAGCATATGAATGGAACTTCTCTGACGTGAATCCTCCCGTTCATGCCTGGTTAGTGTTGAAACTAGAAATTATGTCGAAACGCCCCGCTGAACTTTTACTCTCAGGTCTGCCTTCAGGGTATTCAAAATCGAGCGCCAGCTGCGTGGTGTAGGCGACACGGAATTCTTGAAGACAATCTTCCTCAAACTTATGATTAACTTCACATGGGTACGTGAATCTCGCCGATGCAGCTCGCACTCTAGCTGACTCCCGGGTAGTGGGTCAACAGGAAAGATACGGATGGGAAAAACGTCTTTGAAGGTGGCTTCCTGGGACTTGACAACATCGGAGCGTTCAATCGGTCTGAGCCGCTCCCTAATGGTGGCACACTTCGCCAGGCCGATGGGACCGCATGGATGGCATTCTATTGCTTGAACATGTAAGTTGAGCAGGCTTTGCTTTGTCCGCCGGGCGTGCTAATGCATTTCAGGCTCAACATCGCCCTTGAACTTGCGAAAGAGGATAAAACGTATGAGGATATTGCGTCAAAGTTCTTCGAGGTAAACAACTCATTCCTGGTCTTGTGGGAAAATCTTGACTCATGCAAACTTTTAGCATTTCATAAGCATTTCAGATGCTATGGCATATGATGGGGAGGATCACGACTCCTCGTTGTGGAATGATGACGAGGAATTTTACTTCGACGCAATTCAGTGGCACGAAGGGACTCCCCAGCAGATTCCAGTTCGGTCGCTGGTTGGCTTGATCCCTTTATATGCTACCTTGACCCTTGAACCTTCGGTCATGGAACGCTTTCCCAATTTCAAAGAACGGCTAGAACGATTCGTCAATATCCGACCTGAGGTATCGCAACGTAACATGCATGGTACAAATAGTACGTTGGGCCTCCCCTATCTCGTTTCTCGGGGTCTCATATAACCCCCCCAGGTGTGGGTTCCGGGGAGAGGATTCTTTTAGCATTGGCGGGAAGGGAACGCCTTCAAAAGATCCTTCAAAGGATGTTAGACACAACGGAGTTCCTGAGTGATCATGGCATCCGATCGTAGGTTAAGCCCTCCCCGCATCAGGCGCATCATGCTTATCTTCTCTTTGAAAGCCTTTCAAAGTATCATGAGAAGAATCCCTTCTCTATGCAGGTCAACGGAGAGAAATTCGAAGTACATTACTGGCCAGGCGACTCCAAATCCGGGATGTTTGGTGGTAATTCTAACTGGAGGGGACCAATCTGGCTAGCGACGAATTTCCTTTTGATAGAGTCGTTACAGCGCTTCCACCAATATTACGGGGACACGTTCCAGATCGAGTGTCCCACAGGCAGCGGAAACTTGATGGATCTTTCGAGCGTCGCAAAGGAGATTCGCCGTCGCATCATAAGCATCTTCGCCCATGAGGGTGGTTGCCGACCCACGAATGGAGGGCATGAGAAGCTAGACAAGGATCATCATTTCCGTGATCTTGTGCTTTTCCACGAATTCTTCCACGGCGATACGGGTCGGGGGCTGGGGGCCTCTCACCAAACTGGCTGGTACGTCGATGTATTGAGGTAACCTAGATAAAGTGTTCCAACCTATTTGATCAGGACTGGTCTGGTTGCCTATCATATCATGCAGTCCGCTGATACTAGGCCAACCCCTCGGAGTGAGTTTTCTGTCTAACAAATCCTGTTTCATTCTTGACGTCTTAAAATTTTTAGCTCCCAAGAGTTTCGCCTCACATTACTTCCACGACAATATTAATACTCCTTCAGAGGAGAAAGAGTTCTCAGGGGAATCCATTTTATTGAAGCCCACACGCCACATCGCTCATGCACTGCAGGACGTCTCTCCCAACGCATTGTAGGGACATTAGGGAATGTACTACTAACTTTTAAATATAAGGTGACCACACCTATACTATGTATGCAGACATTTCGGGCGTGGAAATATAGAAATTGTGGCTAAACATCACTGTGGTGGTGTGACGTGACGTATTCGTGACGGATTTTGAGGATTGCAACCTCAGAAATGTCGCAAAAGCGAGACATTGACTATAGCCTGTATCTTGTTACGGGGAGAGAGCTGCTCCCAAAAGGGATTGACTACTACGATTCACTCGAGGAGTCGCTGAAGGGAGGGGTCACCGCCGTGCAGGTGCGCGAGAAAACAGTCGACACTGGGGAGTTTGTGGAGATTGCGAGAAGGCTAGCTCGCTAAACTATAAATGGTTCCCACCAATCACGCCAATTTAACATACAGGACCCAGGAAATTTGCTCGAAGTACAATGTGCCCATCATAATCAACGATCGAATTGATGTGGCGCTTGCTATAAAGGCGGACGGCGTCCACTTAGGCCAGGTTATTTGACCGAACTAGTCGTTGTGCCAAACGACACTGAGACAGATCTTAGACTGACATGCCGATCGAGATTGCCAAGAAACTGTTACCACCTTCCATGGTTTTAGGTCTTTCGGTCTCCTCTCCTGCGGAAGCAACCCTTGCCAGCAAAGCTGGAGTTGATTACGTTGGAATTGGACCTATATGGTGGACCACGAGCAAAAAGCTTACCAAGGATGTTATCGGGCCGCGTGGAATTAGCTCAATTTTGGATGCGCTCTCTCAATCCATTAAGACTATCGGAATAGGTATAGGCAAATCACCTTCCTGACGGGGAAGCTGAATTATTCTGCAGGTGGTATCAAGTATCGTAACTTGATACGCACCCTTCATGGCGCCGTTACCGCGTCTGGAAGAACCTTGGACGGCATCGCCGTGATCAGCGAGATTGTGTCAAGCAGTGAACCAAGAAAGGCTGCGGAGAATCTGCGGAGTCTGCATCGAGCATTCACGGACCAACCTCATCCCACGCAGCCATTCACACCTTGGACTATCCCTACGGAGCTTCCAACAAGGGCCGATATTGTTCATCAAGTGGCTAAACTAATAGTCGAAACCCGTGCCTTGACCCCCCTCGTGCATCAAATCACGAATTATGTGGCCATGACACAAAGTGCTAATATTACCCTTGCCATGGGTGCAAGCCCAATAATGGCCACCGCTCCAACTGAAATGGAAGATCTAAGTAAGGTCTGCGGGGGTCTGCTCATTAATTTTGGGACCATTGGAGATTTCGAAGGAATGCTGCTTGCAGGTGACCTTGCTTTGGCATGCTGTTTCAAGCCATAGCTAAGCCCTCCACGACAGGAGAGTTTGCAAATCTGAACAAAAAACCTGGTAATACAGTGTTGGAGTTGATGGTATCGTGTCTGACCAACCCCATTAGTCGTATTTGATCCTGTGGCAGTGGGGGCTACCGCACACAGACGCAGTACCGCTAATCGTTTGTCTGATTGCTTATATTGTGGGAGCAATTGACAATTACATCCTCGTTAGAGCTGCTGAATGCTTGGCAGGCCACGGTTATCAAAGGGAATGCGAGTGAGATTGGTGCCCTGGCCGGGCTAACAGAGGTATTTTGGCTGTCGAACTCCTCTCAGACAAGTTTTTGAGGTTGGCATTAGGTCAAATCGCGTGGCGTCGACAGCATTGGGGATGGCTTCACAGATCCGGCCACCGTGGTGAAGGAGTTGTCACTCAAAGAAAGTACGTAGCCATCAATTATATGCGAGCGTGTCGCCTCATAATTCCAACCTCTCAGGGTGTATTGTGGTGATGACAGGTGGGTAACCTTCTCGAAATCGGACGTCGCAGCAGTAATTCACATTAATTACGAAGGAAAGGATGACTGGATCTCGAATGGGGAATCCGTTATCAAATTGAGTAACGGCCACCATCTATTACCAGGGATTACAGCTAGTGGCTGCATCGTCGGCTCTGCCATTGCCACATACTGTGGAACCGTAAACATTCTTGCCAGGCGTGGCCTTGCCGAGTCATCTGCATCTGATGGCAGACTTGTCCTGGGCGATATGCTTCTAGGCGCTGTGGCAGGGTAAGTGCCATCCTTGAAACTCAACTATGATTATATTTCGGCTAGGGTTCTGGCAATAACAATCGCATCCGAGATTGCCGGAGAACGGCCCGATGTCCGGGTACAGGGACATTCCTTCCAGCTTTGATTGATGAGCTAGGCCATTTAACACCTGAACCCATCATCCGGCGGGCAAAGATCACGCAGATTGCATAGGAGGAAAAGGAAAGGACCCAAGGCAGAGAAAGCATGAGCGTACAGATAGTTATCACTTGTAAGAAAACAAGATTTTGTATCCTGTTTATGAGGACGCATCTGAGGAAGCCGAAAACAGTTTGGAGAATGGCATTGATGATGTTGGCTGGAGCCAATTTTTCTCATCCCACTTCGCATGAGGAGCGCTTTCTATCATATGGAATGTGTATGCATAGCGCGTCTTCAAGCTGAGATTCTTCTCCGATTTGTGCATGACTGAGCCGTGAATGAGCAACAAGTCACCTGAAGCAAGCTGAGATTCTGCAATGGGGTAACGATCTCAACCGAGCTACGTGCCTGCATCGCATGTCACGAGTTTATAGTCGCCTTTGGATGGCAATTGATAAAGATCTCGCAATTGTTCAAACCCTGTTCCACCTTTAGGAAGGCGAACAAAACGCTTAGTAATAGGGATTGTCAAGTGCGATCCAGGAACGAAGCCTAAAGCACCGTTCTCGGCGGTGCATTTCTCCAACGCGAACCAAAACCCAAGAGCCGAAGGTGGGTCGCTATACTGAAGGATATGTTCAGCATTTCAACTGCACCAACACACTGTGCGACTCACCAGAAAGGTGGAATCATTGTGTTCTGATACCTCGCCCCCAATGGATGGCTGTTTGAATATCACCATGCTCTGTAGAACCGCAGGATCCTTGTGGAAATTTAGATCACGGGCGATCTTTTTCAATTGGTCGTTCTGCAGAGTCACCGCTCGGAAAGCAGGGTCGAGTTCATGGAGAGCGTGCCCCATCTTGTTCACAGAGAGCCCTTTTGGCCTGTTGAGCTTCCCATCTGGTCCGAATGCGTCCACCTCGAAAAAGAACCGAATCTTGTCTCCGCTAGTTAGAAAATAGTCGTCACCAACGTGTTTCCTGAAGATGGGCGGATAAGTGCAAGATATACGAAATAGTTTAGTACGAACGTACTTTTCGTCGTTTTCTTCGCCTGTCGTGAATCGAGTCTGAGATGGGTTGGCTTCTCACATCTGTCACATTGCTGGACTTTAAACATACCATCGGGTGGTCTTCAAGATCAAACTCTTGAAGTAACTCCTTCGAACGTTTGAGAAGCCCATTCACTTGCTCGTCGGATAGAAATTTTGGGATGACTAAGTAGCTGCAAATATTATAAACGAAGTTGTATGATATAACAGAAAGGCAGGAGACACATTACCCATCGCGTTTGAACTGCTCCACACGTCCAGGAGTCAAGATCTCATATGAAGACATAACAAGTGCTGGATTACAACGAGACTCTGGGCTCCAGGATATGTCCAAGCTGCTCTTTAGCCGTTGGAGAGATCGATATACCAAAGACGATTAGGCAGAGACTGAATAGGAGACTAAACTATTCAATATGACGTTTTTGGGGTTTGAAATTGAAAAATTCAAAAGGTTGAACTCGGAGTGTGCCGTCTTTCGATCTTTTTTTTGCTGGCCTTGGACACCTCGCTGTAGACGATCCAAGTGATAAATGTCTCCCGTGGCACCGAATAGCGCAATTGTGGCTTCATCGGCCTTCCTGACGGAACTGAAGAATTTGCAGGCCGCCCCAACAGCCCCAGACGCCAAGGCTGCCGCTGACAATTTGGCGCGTGCCGTAAAGAAGGCTGGACCTGCCTCTCTGCTGTAGGCAACACTGCACGATGTACACGTCCTTATATTTTCTGATGTCGTTTCGCAGTGATGAGAATGTTTTACAGACACTTCAGTCATTCGCCACTAATAAGAAATCTGGCTACGAGCGCGAATCTGCAGCTGTTGGCTACCATTCGCTCAGCTCAATCCTCAAAGCTCCTGCCCTTCCTTTATTACTACCAACACTTCCGATTCTCTTGGAGCTACTCTCTGACAAAGGCGACGTGGTCCGATCCGCGGCTAGCTTGGCCATACGGTCCATGGTTTCCTTAACTCCTGTGCAAGCCATTCAAAGTGTTATGGAGGTATTGGGTCACGAGCTTTCCAACACCGCCAAGTGGAAGTCCAAAGCTTTCTGCTTAAGCCAAATGGCGCGCCTCGCCGAGAGCAAGAATGAGGGTGTAAGAGATGAGATTGCAAATCTTCTCGGAAGGTTGCTCCCTCTCATCGAAACAAGCATGCACGACACCAAGCCGGAAGTTGCAACTGCCGCTAAAAAAGTGGCTACAGCGTTTTACGAAACACTTCCAAACCCTGATCTTCGCCCTCATATCCCTCTACTTGTTTCTGTCATGGCAGCACCCGATGAGGCGCCCAATACGATCAAGGCTCTGTCAAACACTACATTTGTCACTGAGGTCACGGCCCCTTCATTAGCTGTTCTTGTCCCACTCTTGGTCGGGGGTTGAATGCCAGGAGTATGGACACTCAACGCCGCACTGTCGTGGTCGTGGAGAATGTTTGCAAGTTGGTACGAGATCCTGTCGTTGCGGCAACTACCTCAGCTCGCTGGTTGAGGGTGTGGAGAAAATCGCTGCAAGCGCTTCATTTCCCGAAGTCCGGACGTTTGCGTCCTCTGCGTTGAAGACCCTACTGGGTGCTGGTGCATCCAAGACTGCGCAGCCCCCTCCTGACCGCGACATTGCAGAGGAAGTTTTATCGGTCGTTAGAACTATGACGTTAGATTTGCCTCAAAATTTATTTACGCCCTCACCTAATGATTCTCAGTTACCTCCCATACCCTCTCACCCACTCTTTAATCAATCACTTCGCTTTTCTGCTAGGCTCGTTGCAGAGCTCGTCCATAACAAGGACTTTATGGACCCTTCTCCATGGAAACAAGCTATAGATGTCTACCTCCAGCCATGGGTCTCTGGAAACGGAGCAGAAGCTGAACTGGTATCCGAGTCGATCCGAAAGCGCTTTTGGGATGCAGAGAAGGCAACACGACCAGCGCCTAATGACGATGGATCAGAGAATCTTCTCTGCAATATGGTCTTTTCACTTGCATATGGCGCACTGTTGCTCCTCTCCCACACCACGCTTCGTCTTGTTCGTGGCAGGCGCTACGGTATCTGCGCCGGAAATGGAAGCGGGAAGACAACACTTATGAGAGCAATCAGGGATGGGAAGGTTGAGAATTTCCCTTCTCAGGATGAAGTCGTGCTGTCTTGGTGGAGCACTCCTTACAGGGCGAGGATGCATCGCTTTCTATTATAGATTTCATTGCTGCCGGTAAGTTAACTAGTCGCTTTGGCACGTATCCATCCTGAAATTGGCATCTAGACCCGGCTCTTGCCAACATTGAACGTTCGGTCATCGCGAAACAGTTAGAAGAGGTTGGATTTAGTACCGAACGACAGACCCAGACTGTCGGGAGCTTGAGCGGAGGCTGGAAGATGAAGGTAGACCACAGCTATCACCTGTGAAGGCGTCACTCTAATTTAGATGAAAGCTCGAATTGGCTCGTGCAATGCTATATAAGGCTGATCTCCTTCTTCTCGGTAAGCCTATCGAGTTTCATGTATCGAATCTGGCGGTGACAACATCTCGACTCCAAAGATGAACCAACGAATCACGTACGAAACCAACTGATTCGCGCAATGTTGTTCCTGTCTGACGAATCTCACTTGCAGCTCGATGTGCCTTCCGTGAAGTGGCTTGAGGACTATCTTACGTCGCATGTAAACGTTACATGTCTCATTGTATCTCACGATTCAGGGTGCGGCTTTCCTGCTCACTTTGGACGAATAGCGTTTTCACCTAACAGCAAATCCCAAAGATTCTTAGACAATGTTACTACGGATATCATTCATTACGAGAATAAAAAAGTTAGTTTGAACCAGCCCCTCTCGTCCCCTCATATTGAAGCCTAGCTATTTCTCAGCTTGTTTATTATCCTGGCAACCTATCCAACTTTGTGAAACACGTTCCTTCGGCCAAATCCTACTACACTCTCGCCGCCACATCAGTCAAATTCTCGTTCCCACCACCAGGGAGCCTTATGGGTGTGCGCTCGAACACACGTGCCATCATGAAGATGGCTAATTGTACATTCACCTATCCTGGGCGAAAAGACCCAAGCTTGATTGACGTCAGCTGTGCTTTGAGTCTGAGTAGTCGGGTAGGGATCGTCGGGCCCAATGGAGCGGGGAAGTCCACTCTCATCAAACTACTGACTGTAGGTGGAACTGAACTTGTTTTGGAAGCTCAATGACAATTGTCCGTTTTTGTCAGGGAGAGACTGGGCCACAGTCTGGCACTGTGTACCGGCACCCATCGCTACGTGTGGGATATGTCTCTCAACATGCGACACATCACATTGGTATGATCATCCTTACCCACAGAGGACTGACATTGACGAATCATCAGAAAAGCACCTTGAAAAGACTCCCGTCGCATACGTGTAGGTTTTGCTGCTTGTAATCGATGTTCCCCAGCACTAAAGAGTAGCGATTAACAGTCAGTGGCGATTTCAAGATGGGCACGATCGTAAGTAGATATGCATAATTCTTGTGAGCAATTCGATTATTGATTTGTAACACCTTAGGGGAGCTTTTGGAGAAGTCCACTCGGGTGCTTACTGAGGAGGAGCGAGCATCGTTAGAGCAAGACTTCGTTGGTAGGAACGGCGAGAAACGCAAGATTGAGGTGTGTACAAATCTTTTTTTTAAGTGGTAGAGTGAGTGCTGATACCAAGGATTTGGAACAGATGATAATGGGCCGACAAAAGCTGAAGAAATCTTTCCAATACGAAATCAAATGGAGAGATTTGGACCATAAGTTCAACACGTGGCTACCCCGAGAAGATCTGCTTGAAAAAGGCTTTGCAAAAGTGGTTGCGCAGTTTGATGATATAGAAGCTTCAAGAGAAGGGGCTGCTAGCCGAGAAACCAGCGCCTCTGCCGTTAGAGCGACCCTAGAGCAGGTTGGGCTAGATGGGAATATTGCGATGTACAACGAAATGGGGGGATTGAGCGGAGGTCAGAAGGTCAAGGTTGTGATAGCTGCAGCATTGTGGAATAATCCTCAGGTGAGGTCGCATGCTACTCGAGGATACGATGGCCCCTGATGAGTTCTTTTCGCTGGCTAGGTGCTTGTTCTAGGTATGCGCTTTGAGATTCGTGTGGCAACCGTTCTGAGACTTTAGATTACCGACACCAGATGAGCCAACGAATTTCTTGGACCGAGAAGCCCTTGGTGAGGAGAAGCACGCAACACGATTTGTTTCACGTGCTGATGAATGTCATGAAACCTCTAGGCGGGCTAGCTGTTGCCATTCGAGACTGGGCTGGAGCGGTTCTGATCATTTCACATAACATGGTGAGCGGGCCTCTCGCGGTAACTTGAAGGTTCCCTAAAAGAAACTAGGAATTTGTCAATGCGCTTTGTCCAGAGATATGGAATGTAGAAGCGGGTCGTCTGGCGCGGAAGGGTAAGGTTGCAGTCGTGGAGGATGCCTTTGCGGACGGAAAATCGCGCCCAGGGTCGACCAGAACAAGCGCTGCACCTACACCTATTGCCTCAGTCAGCGGTACACCAGCTGGGACTGGAGACGAAAGAGCCGGTTCTGGGACAGCCAACCCGACACCGGCGATTAAGAAGAAAAAGTTAACCCGCAACCAGCTTAAAGTGAGGGATGAACGGCGGAGAGCCAGGAAGCTGGAGTGGCTTAGTTTTGGTGGTGAGTCACCGCTTCCTGCTTCATACTCCCTGAGAGTGGCGGCTGATGGAACATGGGTGTGGTCACCTTTGACGCTGCCTCCTAATTATTCCGTTACGTAGGACCCAAACCTGAAGACACAGACAGCGATTGATGACCGGAATTCCCAATATGGTTGTTCCCACGCTCACCCCTCGTCGGCCAGTTTACACATCAGGCAAAAATCGATCTAGATAAATAATTATCAAGGCACAGGATTAGTTTGCCTCGATATTCTCAAGAAGTACCTCGGTTATCATTGCCCAATTTGGTCGTCGCGGTTTTCCGGGCACGTTCCTTCCTTGCACATAATAAGATCAATTGGGTGCCTATATCACGTATCCCTTCGCATTCGTCTTCCTCAGCTACCCTAGAATACCATTCGTTGGCCATACTCGACTGCTAACCCTGTATAGTCACTGCGGCCTTTATGCCCATGCCGTGCGGGGACATCCTGATTGACCGATCCTTTGAATTGTACGGGTTATCTTAGATGCCTAATATCTCCCTCCTGGCGTTCTACGTGGGCAACAATTGGACTCAAATTCATCTATAATGAGGGAAGAACGAAAACCACCGAGACACCGTTAACTTCTAACCCTGGAGATGAGGGTGTTCTCGTGTGACGGGGATGGTTTAGATGACCGATGTCTCGTGATCCTCCAGGGAATTGACCGGGTAGTTGTCACAAGGGTGGTAGGTGGACATGTGTTATCAGTCAAAATTTGGTTAGGAAGCCGAAGATTGCGCATGCAGTTGAGCTGATTGAGGTGTTTCTTTCGTTGGGAACAGATCAGACACATGATCGAACGAATTCACTGAAAAGAGAGGCGAACAAGCCAAACGGGATCACGGCGGGCCAGGAGGGGGGAGAATACAACGTGCGCGCCTAGCAACCATAACGTACACATGCAACCTTGATCAGGCTGCATGAGCCGCGTGCACTGACACATGATGCCCTGCGCTATGACAAATATTCTTCTGAACGCGCGCAACATGTGCAGCTTATCTAGTTATCTAGCTACACGCGTAAAAATCATATATGGTTGAAGATAACGTAAATATTGGAAGAACAAATTAAAGTAGTAGCCACCAAACGGGCGATTGGCGGATCGGTGGAGTCTGATAATATAACAAGTGGGACAGCAACATACGAAACGATAATGAATATGGTCAAACTACAAATAAGGGGGAGTGAGGCGGGCTACAAGTGGATCTTTGCCACACAACGCGCCAGCCAACGAGAAGCTATCAAATTACAAACGTTGATCTGACGGTCAGGCGGAAAGTTGGGAGTAAAGCATGTATAGCTGCAAGCATTTGGATGCGACGTGGAACGAAAAAAGAAACTAGCCACTAGGAAAAAAAAATAAAGAATTACAAGTGGTTGCTATGCTTTGTGATACAGATGATTTTGGGACTCTTTTCGAATCAAAACTGATGTGTGCGGGCGTTATAACAGGAAGGAATCATGTTCCAGGGCTGCGGATCCGAAGGTGGAGGCAACACAACACATGGAACGGAGAAACAAAGAAAAGACAACAAAGAACTGAAACATAAGTGAAGGAACTGTGCATGGTGGGACGAAAAACCAGAGGGTGCAAGGTATAGAGAAGTTACTTGAGGCTGGCTGCCAATTGTGTTTTCATAGTGAGGAGAAAAAGGACAAGATCGAGTGTGGTACTGAGAAATATGTCAGCAAAATGTGTGTCGGTCGGCCTGCTCGTCCAGCGGAACATGTGTTGGGCTCCAGGTTTCGTTTCGTGAAGAGAGAATGGAAAGAGTAACATTCCTTGGTTTGGCAGGACATGGTGGGTCGATCGAGGACTATGTTTCATCTCCTACAACAATTGAGTGCGGTGGTCAGTCCCAGTTCGACAAAACGCAGCTTAGCAGATTCAAAGCCAAAGAATAAATCCTGCGCAGACTGCTACGTACCCAATCTTCACACGTGCCCCGACTTTCGAAGACAAAAAACCCCGCTTCGAAAGGTTAAAATAACAAGACGCCCCCGCCTCACCACCTCAGAGTACCCGCCCCATTGGACGCAGTATCAGTGGTCGCAGCACCATATCCCCCGCCATAGACTCCATAAGATCCTCCGCCATTCGCTGTTCCACTGCTACTAGTCGATGTAGTTGATGTTGAGCCTATTGGGCTCGTCAGTTGTATCGAGCCAAACGTCCCTGGACCAGCCGCCGTCCCAGAGTGAATGTGGTGTGAGGCGTGATGCGAGGTATGGTGTGGATGCGATGGATGAGCCGCCTGGGCCTGCTGTTGCGTCCGAGTCTGGCGGAACGATTGACGTTTATTCTGGAACCTGTTAGAAAACCTGGTAAGTATCATTGGACGATAACATGGGAAAGTAAAAGGGAACGGGAGACCGGGAATACGGACCAAATTTGAACTTGACGGGGGCTCATGCCCAACTTACGAGCCAACTCGGCACGTTCCTCGGTAGAAGGAAATGCTGTTCTTTCGTATGTAGCATTCAACGTTCTCAACTGTGTCGCGTCGGCCCGTCGGCGCTTCGGCTTGATCCCCGGTAGATTCCCATTCACACTTGCAGCAGCAGAGGCTGTGACTGTTCCATTTGTCACACTGGACGAATTAGTCGAGCTCACTGGGCTTGCTAATGAGCCCGAAATTGATCCCCCCAAAAGATGGTTTACTCCATTCGCTGGAACGACAATCCCTGCCAGATCACCGAATGGACTGTTTCCGCCAAGTCCCCCCATACCTAATCCACCCGTATTAATGAAGTATGAGCTGGCAACACTTGATCCGCTAGACGACGTAGTACCCATCGGCTCGGCAGAGGATCGGTCTCGGCCAATGGCTGAAGAGAGGAGACTACCAGTTGAACCTCTGTGGGAGTGACCGTGGACAGATTCAGGTGAAGTGGAGCGCGTTGACCCATTTGTTGATCCAGCTGTTAGCGCAGCAAGCGGAGGAAGGGTTCGCGAAGTATCATATGCACCGGTGCCATTACCAACAGCACTGGCGCCAGCGCCAGCGGGTGTAGAAGCAAGGAACGCAGGACTTTGGTGCCCTCCGGGCGCGTACGGTGAGGAAGCTGATATTGGTGAATATGATGTTACGGATGTTGGCGTGGGATTGCTGTAAGAGCGAACGTGATGGCTTCCATTGCCGTGCGGGTGATGCGCTGCATTGGTCATGGCGTAGGACGAGATCTCGTGCGTTACCGAGTGGTGATTGCCCGTATTGTGTGGAGCATGTTGCTGGTAGTGCGGAGTGGCATAAGGGGAAGGTGCCGACTCCGAGGCGGGTGTCGTTGCATAGGCCTGGTGCGGGCTAGCAGCATACTGGTGCGGCTGAGATCGGTAAGAGGCTAAGTGTGGGCGTGTTCAAGTTCGGCAGGGGGGGACAGGACGATCGAATCGGGGAGATTAAGGCAAGGAAGGGGAAGTGTCCCAAGTACCGGTGCATGCGTCAAAACAGAAGAAGACCAATTGAATTTCTGAACTTAAACGGTGGAGGTGCTTCTGCTAAGGATATGCGTACCTTGGGGAGGATAGGTAGTTGATGCACTCCAATCTGTTGCATAATTGGGCGAGGAATCAGAAGAGTTCCCGTGCCATTCGCCGCTTTGCGACCGAGGCTGAGTGTGAGGTTGAACTGAGGGATTCGAGGATGTCACAATCGGGGGAAGCGTGAACCCCGGAGCGTTAACGCTACGCGTGACATCGTCGAGACTGGGTACAGAGTTCCCGCTGTCCCATCTTTGAGGCGCGTAAGTGGTACTATGATGAACAGATGGGCTCTGCGAGTGTTGGTCAGCGCCTGACCGGAGCACTGCGTCGCCGGCAGATGCGGATGACTGGAAGGGAAAGCCAAGTTAATGTCACATAGCGCTCGGAATAGAACAGGCTCACCTGGTTCATACTCGCTGCGTCTTGAAAAGCGGTGAATATTTGTGGAGGACTAAAGTACGGCTGATAGGGCAGGACAGTGGGAGATGACATGATGATGAATGAGTGTGCTATTCTTGATTTGGAGGAGGAGGGATGTAGAGGGGGATGAAAGGGGGGGGAGACTTACAATGAAGTATGAGGGCGTTATAAAGCAATCTGAACGGGATGACAATGATGAGGGGTGACCAGAAAGAGACGAACTCGGTCCAGGAGAGGGAGGATTAGGTGTATTTGTTCTGCCGTTGAGAGCATATTCATTTCTCTTGCCTCCATGTTGATAATCAACCGGGGGCAGCACTTATTCGAGTGTGGAAGGAAAAAAGCAGCAGCGATACCCACGATGCCTCCGCAACTAACGAGTGAGTGTTCTTGGAGGGGGTTTGGGAAGCTCCGGTGCACAAAAAAAAAAAAGATATTTTCCAAACTGAGTGAGTGAACGTCGGAGAGATGAGTGAATAAAACGATCAACACATTCATCTGGACTTCAAATCTTTTGAACAAAAATTCGACTCTTATGGGTTCTTGCCATCTGATCTCTTTTTTTTAATTTCACCTGAGGGAAAGAGAATACAAAAGAAATCTAAAAAGAAAGCTGGATTCTTTTTCTTTTTCAAAAAAAAACCACTCCCCTTTATTTTTTCTCTCCACCCCTTGGATTACCGTCGGGCGGGGCGTGGATAGGGTTGAGTCACCGAAGCACGAGCTACGTATCACAGCGTGAACGATACGATGTGCCTAAACGGCGTTACCATCAATCATAATTGCAGTGTCGGGCGTGGTATTCCTGGGATGCGCGGTAACGAGCTGTAACCAGTACCCACGTCCAGTGTGTTAGAAAAACTCTCTTTTAGCCTTGCAACCTCCGCCCTTCCGTTGCCCTGTTACTACTCTGTCATACTAGGAATCAGGATTTGCACATGTGTCTAATGGATCCTTTCTCTAATGTCGTATCTACTTGCCTCTTCTGTACTATCCGGGTCTTTGGTTCGTGGATGCTGTTCCTAGTAGCCCACCCTGGCCGCAGATCTTCGCAGGTCTTGCCCGCATTCCATTCCCATGGCCATGTGTTGAAACTAGTTTTTATCGCCTGTTCCGCAGCCAGACTCTAGTTACACACCCTTCGCCATATGCGAGGGCGCTGCACAGTACAGGCTGTCTGCAACCATCCAGGACCCATTCGCATCACATATATGCGGGTAGTTTCGAGCAGCTCTGCGGTGTTCCAGACTGGGCAATGATACCTTCATTTCAATTGTGGACTTCATCCGGCATCTACTCAGTGCCCAATCCTAACCGCCAATTACCACCACTCGCTCTCTTGAAACGCTTGACATTCCAGCTTCAGCGCCTCCCCCGCGAAATTCCTGTCAAACTACCTCTTGCCACGTGCGTACCACGGCGGCTACTCACCATGATAATCGACTTTAAAGCGAAATTGTCTCCTTTCCGAGCCGGTCACTATGTATGCATATGCTTCTCAATCAAAATAAATGGATACAGTCTCGTCCCTCTACTTAGGAGTACTACGGCAATTGTGACACTCCCAGAAATGCAGATACGATACCCTAGCGTGTTCACTCTGTTTCCGGCAGTTCCAACTTAACCGGTCTGTCCATACCCACTCGCACGATCCCCCCTCCCCTCCCCTCACTCACGTCCCTCAGAACTCACCACGTTCAACCTTCTCGGCGTTTACGACTTTTGACTTCAAGAAAGAATAAATTGTTCCCCTCCCGCCTCGCAGAAAAGACGAAACACCGCTCGGCCAGCCAAGAATATGCGCACGCCCGTCAGCCTAGACGCCGAATTCGAACAAGAATCATCCAGTCGCAGCACAATATTGTTGTTGGTCAAATATTACCAACTCCCTGATCACAGGGTTATCCGGACTTAACCCTGCGATGATACATTCATTCGGGGATTCTTAACAATCAAGGCACAGGCATCAACAGCTCGATGAAAAGGCTCTAACCCCTTAACTCAGCGCACCATCAGCATCAGAGGAATAAGCGTGCATCGCGACCGCCTGGCGCAATTGCTCGCTTACCACCCAATGGCGAGCGAACAAAGCGGCAAGGAAAGAAGCTCCTGGCGAGAGGACACCGGTGTCCGCAGATGGTATTTCATCAGCATCATACCCTATCCTATCATACGTATTTAGTACGTGCATTCTATCAGCACACACCTAAAACTTCGGGCAGAGTTAGTAGTACTGATTATACGATCAACCACGCAACAATCTGCAACATCTTTGTGATTAGATGGTGCGCACGCGGGCGGTCCTCGTCTCCCATGCTGGGCACGCGATGCGCGTGCCAATTTGCATTCCCGATCCAAAACTTTTGCACTCTAAAATCAAATTGATATCTCACAGCACATACCGAGGCACTGCAGCCAGCTGGTTCTTTCTTGTCGAGTCCCTTCCCTCCCAACGCTTGACCGCCACTGCTAACCCCGCCAAAGATCCCACTCAACTGACCCGGCCCTTACCCCGAATCGCATCATGATACGGGCAACGGACGCCTGACCTGAGTCAATTTGTTCCACGCCAGGGTATACATATTGACATCGTGACAAACGAGTCGGAATGGAAACGCATACACGTATATATTTGGGCCTCGGTCGGTACATACTATTTTTAGGCACAATAGCTGGGAAGTACTGGAGCTAAAATGTAAATTTCCCTCGTTCCGTTGCTCCGAGTCATTATTTTCTTACACTGCATGAATTGGACAGGGTTGTTAGACCCTTGTGCACACAAAAACCGGTGTCAGCTGTGTTCCAAGAGAAAAATCGAAGAACGCCCCCGAAGCAAAAACTCGACAACGGTTCGGTTTAATGAGCACGGTCCAGAAGGTCTTAATTTTCTCACCATTAAAAGGCCTGCTACAATGAGTTCGGTGTTGGAGAACTGAAAGCAGGGTAAGTTCTTTCAGTTGAGTCAGGGGCTCAGCCAGTTGGGGAAGATGACTCGATGAGAGCACGTTCATGTTCGTCGACAAAGAAATTGGGGAGTTTTTTGCCATGCTGATGCTTGGGGATCATCAAGCCGGATTCCGAAACATACCTTCAACGAAGCGGTGTACAAGTGCACGGAAATCAAGAATGGCAATATCATGCTCCAGGGGAAAATGGCGCGGTCTTTTCCTTTGGCCGTTTGTCCCTATTTAACGATATCTTGTGAAAAACCTAGGAATGAAAACGTACACAGCATGGCAGCAAGAGGGTTGGTCCGGGTTGGGATACGGAGATGAACGGAGAAAACTTGTACACCGGGCATCACTCAGCGATAGCGCTAGTGCCAGGAAGGAGCAAGCAAGCGCCTGGCGTCCGGACTGCCCCACGGAAAATGAAAAAAAAAAAAAAACTATATCGCATCACATGCGGCGAGTAATGATACACAGCCGTGATGGATGTTAACGGCGAGCTGAACGCAAAACAAAAATGGATGTGAATCCCCTTTCCACGTCCATGAAAACAAACGGCCTCTCAGTTCCTTCTGCGCTTAGAAGAATAGATCCTACTGACTCCAGCACGACGCGTTTATGGAGTTTTGGTGCCAATAAGTCGGATCCCCCCAACACCAGATGGGGGCCCTGAAAGGAGATGTGGTCGGGGGGCTTGGGTTGGACGATGAGGAAGATAAATGCTCCTGAATGCCTGATGGAGCCAAATCAGATGGTTCGAATGGCAGGCATGCCGTACTATTAAGCCAGGCCTCAATCATCTATTCCCCTCGTTTTAGTGAGCCCGACTGTCGTCGAACTGAGCCAAGGTCACACACGGCCAAACGAAAGAGGCAACACCGAAGGGGTGCACACGGAAGATGAAGGTCGATTGAATGAAAGTACCCTTTTTTGGTGTATTTAGGATGACGCTGGGCATTGTCGAAACAATGCGCCAGATGAATCGTTTCACAGGATAGATGAAGGGATAATGAAAGGAAGCGATGTCCGCAAAAGCACTTATAATCACTGAACTGCGACCGGTCACTTGTCAAAATGCCCAATTCCAAATTGGAATGGTGGTTGTGCACGGATTATAGTAAGAGAGAGAGTGGGCAAGTTATCAGGGGAGAGGTTATCTTGACACGAAGCAAAATCGGATTAGTTGAACCAGAGCAGAATTCTTGATCTCAATGTGATTCCAAACCGCGTGGGGTCAACGTGGACATGAACTAGGTTGAGAATGTCCGTCTAACCCCTTTGGGTTATACAATGCAAGTATGAAGGTCAAGTCCCCGAACGAATGGGATATTGTCCAAGCTTGGTGAATCAATACTCGCCCAGTATTTGGTCAACAACAATGGAAATCGTTTCATTTTGTGAGACGGGTGGTTTTCTCATGTTGTACGAACGTGCCGGAAGGCGGCTGATAAGATTGGGACTCACAGATATTGGGCCCCCAGAGCAAAGCACTAAGAGGGGTGCGAGTTTTGCGCCCGGGGTGGAGCGGGTCCGAAATACCAAACCGGGAGTCAACGACGGGCGGCGAGTGCTTTCCCCACGAGCTGTGTCCGATCGCAAGTATGTGTGGAAAAGTGTTCGTTCCTACAGTGTTTGAGGTATTTGCCAGACATGGCTCTGCTCGGCCAGAAAACAGCTACCGAAACCTTGGTAGATGATCAACACTGACTACAACAACAGGTCGTTGAGCCAAGCACAGTCAGAATCCAGGGCGCCCCGGGGATGGAGTAAACGTGGTGGAAGTCTTTACATAATCCCCATGCCACGGGCTGTTCGCGTACGGCAATTGACCTTAACATGGCGATTATTCAAGACAACAGAAGGGGTCACCCAATGAGACATGTCTCCGAGCAGACAGGGATAAAGCTGCCTCCTGGAAACGACGAGGTGGCCTCATGAGGCCCTGCGCACAACGGCGTTTCTTTTGTTTGAAGTCCGGCGGGTATTGTGACAGCTTATCTGGGTACAGCATCCCCGCCCGACGTGCTAATCAATTAAGACCTTCCAAGTTAACAGTAAGGTGAAACGAAATCCAGCCAACGGATTGTGGGCGAAACACTGGCGCAACGCATTTTCATAGTCCTTGAACAACGTACTCGAACAGGAAAAACTCTGCTTCTAAGTTCTGAGTGCTGCTTTTCACGGGGAATTTCATGCAGCGCAGTGTAAAGTGTTCAGAGGCGACGACCTAGAGCTCACATCCCATCAGAAGACGGGAATCACATGGATTTTGTTCACATAGCAGCTTTCAACGGGCGTTGAGGTGCGGAAGTGTCAGAAAGAGGAATTCCCACGCCCTGACCAGGCGTGTTGGCACCTCCTTACCCTTTGGGTCCCCCATTATGCTGTCGTCCACTCAATTCCTTACAATACTAGCCGCAGTGAGCGCCCTAGCGGCCCCAGATCATCTGCGGTCACGTCGTCTGGATGTGTTAAACGCGAGGTTGTGGAGACGGGATGTTTTCGAAGACAGGCTGCACAACCTCACTTTCGTGTATGTTCCTGGTGATGTTATGACATCTGAATGATGCCGAACCCCTTGAACTTCTCCCGCATTTGGCATCTAAATATTGTTCTCTTATTTCTCTTAGCCATGTGAACGATGTGCACGCCCATTTAGACCAGTATCGCAAGTCGGGAACTGACTGCGACCCTCCATCCCCGGACTGTGTAGGAGGCTACTCCAGGATTAAGACAAAAGTAGAGGAGATACGCTCCACCACACCAAATACTCTGCTTCTTAATATGGGCGACGAATTCCAGGTAAGGACCTTGCGTTCTTGGTCCCCACAACGCAACGGGCGCCGTGAGCCAGGAGAGTTTACGTATTTTTTTCGACAGGGCACTCTTTTTTACTCATTCTACGGAGGCTCCAAGATAGCAGAAACAGTAAATGACCTCAACTTTGATGCAATGACGATCGGCAATGTGAGCAGATTTGCGATTCACGACCGGACTTGTGTGGCAATTGAGCTAAAATCTATTCTACAGCACGAATTCGATGGCGGAGATGATCAATTGGCCAGTTATGTTAGTGAGAGCCCCCTATCCTCTTCTATTCCGTGCCATTATAATGGTCGCGCATCCAGCTCCACAACGTGACGGCTCCTGTTGTGAGCGCCAATATCAAGACAAACAACCACTGGCTGTCTTCCCGTATCAAGCCTTACCACGTGTTTCCTGAACATTCGCTGGCTGTTATCGGGCTTACTACAATTCACACCAAGACGACCTCAAGCCCAGGACGTGACACGGAATTCCTGGATCCCGTTGAAGCGCTCCAGAGAACGGTAGATGAGATTAATGCGAAAGAGAACGTGGGCCGTATCATCGCGATGACACATATCGGTAAGCCCGTAGCAATAAAGGATCTGTGAGGTCGACGAGAACACCTCGCTTTTATGTCGCGGCATAGGTTACGAAGACGACGTGGATCTAGCCAGGCGAACTCGTGGCGTTCATTTGATATTGGGTACAATCTCCACAGGACCACCTTTTGGTCATGCCGCTCATTACCATATCCATCGTAGGTGGCCATTCACACACTCTTCTCGGCGATTTCGACGAAGCTGAAGGCCCGTACCCAACGATTCAAAGGAACCTGGACGGAGAGGTCGAGACAATTTCCCTGTTTGATTAACTGTTTTCTCACACTCAGTGATTCGACTGTAGGAAGTATTCATTGTCACAGCTTGGAGATGGGGCCAAGTTCTCGGATTTATCAATATTGCGTTTGAAAATGGTCCAGGGGGGCGTGTGCTTGAATATACTGGTGGACCCATTGTCATGGACAGTTCCATTCCTCGAGATACGGAGCTCCAGGCCAAGGTGGATGCATGGCGCAAGCCATTCGACGAGTACTCGAAAAAAGTGGTCGGCTGGACAAATGGAGATCTTGATCAGACCCGCTGTCAGATCGAAGAATGTGTGTCACTTTCATGTAAAATAAAAGCGAGCATTGACCTGCTTTTCTCTGGTGCCAAACACTCAGGCACATTGGGCAACCTAATCACCGATGCAATGTTGGATTATCGACTGGACGCTGGCGGAAAGGTTCATGGTGCAATTATGAATGCCGGTGTGTGAACTCCAGGTTTCTTCGCTCGTCACTATTATCAATATGACGCTGCCTTACCTTCAGGTGGCATCCGAGCAACTATTCCTCAAGGGAACGTCACGCGAGGTGAGCGCCACCCATGTTGGGATATTAATTATTGACTGGTTTTCGACCGTCATAATCTCCTCAGGCGCCATCGTGACCTCATTTCCTTTCGGGAATGCTGTCGTGGACCTTGAGTTCTCTGGAAGGGAGCTCTGGGACATGTTTGAAGGTACTGCTCTCGGTTTCCAAATGCTTTCGGCTGTGCAATAACTCCTTTTTTATTGTGCGCTCCTGGCTTCGATGCGCTTACAGGCATCGTGAGCAGAAGGAATTCAGCGAATAAAGAAGTCACATCATTTGTACAAGTTTCTCGAGGGGTAGCCTTCTCATACAATCCCAGCGTGGCTGCCGGTTCTCGCCTACGGTCTCTAAATTTGACTTCTGATATTAAAATTACTCCCGACGATCAAAATCGTTATGTTGTCACAACCATCGATTTTGTTGCCGCTGGAGGTGATGGCTTCCTCAATCCTCCCAGAAAACCTGGGCCTCCGCTCAACACCCTGGATGATGTTCTCGCAGACTATATCCGTGCCAAGTCGCCTTACACACCCTTCAAGGAGGGACGAATCACCAAACTTGAGGGTTACCGGGGCTCGGGACAGGATATACTAAAGACCTGTATTGGACTCCGCTGCCGTTCTCTCCCGGCTTAATTCTTGAACATGGGCAACCTGTCTCAGCTCAACTTCCTTCATTCTAATTAGGATTATAATAATAATCCTGTGCTAGTAATCCCATTGTGCAAATCATAAACCATGTTGAAGGTCGGGCTCGGGCTCGGGCTATTTTACACAGCGGGTGCCGTGGTGTTGTGGCTGGTACTGACGCCACCCACCACGTCCTCGATGAACACACCCGAAAAAACCAGTCCTTCCGTTGTTCCTTCCTGAATGCCGTGATGAGGCACATTGGATTGTTGGGCCGGAGTGTCCCGAGGGTCGGCCAAAGGCAACTGTAAAATGCATGGCCGTTAACAATACAGGGCAACAAACTGGTTCATCTGTGCTTCACCTTGAGCACTCCCCAATGGAAATCCCCCTGACCAGCGGCCCCACTGGAGGTTGAGTCGTTATCGACTAAGCACGTAACTGGTTC